GCATTAAATGCCAGGCGCGCCTGTGCGTTAAAGTTAGAATCGGCTAAATAATTAGAGTTGTTATTCCTGTTTTTGTCTTCTTCTTCTTCTTCTTCTTCTTCTTCTTCTTCTTCTTCTTCTTCTTCTTCTTCTTTATCTTTATCTTTATCTTCCTTCTACTATTATTGTTATTATCACCCTTATTATGCCTCTTAAGAAAGCTAACCCTAGAGGTAAGGGCAAGGCCCCTGCTGGCAGTGTGGTTTGTGTTCTTAAACCTTTAAGAGCCCTTTCTCGCGTTCTACAGCGCTAACTTGCTTTTAGCATAAGAAAAATCAGAAGATAACGCAGTCTCGGGTTAATAGAAACGGCGCTAGCTTATTAGCAGCAGTAGCAGCAGCAGCAGCCCTATAGGATCTGCTATGTGAGAATTGCATTAGGAGTATTATTGCTAGCAGGAGTATTATTGCAGGCAATAAGGCAACTTCTTTTAATAAATGTGTGGTTTTGCCTGGCGCCTTCTGGTAATATAAGCTCTGCTATAAGGGCAGCTATAAATGCAACCCCTGGTAGGCTTATTTTCCTTTCCCTTTTCTCCTTTTATATTAATTAAATACATAGCTGTTGTAAGCTTGTGCCCTTTGTTTGACGGTTAGATCGTGCCCTTGATGAGAATAATAGAAAGGTATTCCTCTTATTTTAGCTTCTTATACTTTATGCTAATTATAGACTAGGTAATAGAGCAATGCTATGCAGCCCTGCGTCTTATATTTAATATGCTTAATAATAATAATCTGGCGCTGGCGATAGATAATAATAATATTAATAATAGAGTGAGCCGCGCATAGGCTTATAGGGCATAGAAGACTGTTGCCGATTACATTTTCCAGGAATAGGTACTAGCTTTAAAGAAGAAGCATGGGTGTTTTATATTATAATTTATTACTTTTATTATTATTCTTAACATTATGCATTTTTATTTACATAGAATAGAGGCACTAAATTAACTACACTTCTCCTGTATTAAGATGTCTTAAACCTAATAAAGCCTGTCAGGCTAAGTGGTATAAGTGTCCTAGGAGTTATAAGAGGTTTTAGGTTTAACTACCGTTAATAGCATAATATGGCCAGGTCTATGCGTCTTTACCAAGAGTCTCCTAAATATTAAGGGGCGCATAGATAAAAATAAATAAATAAATCTTTTTTTTTTCTTCTTTTTTTTCTAGTTTATAGCCTAAAAAAGCCAGCTGCGCTTATATTTTTAAAGATATACCTAATCCCAGCCCTCTACTTAAAACTCTTCTCTAGCATAAGGATTAGGCAATCCCTCTAATTTCTAGTCCTGATCTTTAAGTTAATTAGTGCCTTCTGTTAGTTAACTGTAAAGAAGGCGCTGCCTCTTTCTTATAGAGATGTCTGCTAGAATTCTATCCTCCTGCTTTTTTATTAGCCTCTTCCTTTTCCTTATAATTTTCTGCTGCTTAAAACCACCTAAGCACTCCCCTTTTATCTTTATAATTACATGCATACCCCCCTCTTAATAAAGTATTACTTTAAATACTTCCCCTCCCTTATGCATTTTCCTTAGGTGTTTTACCTAATATTCCTAACCTTTAATTATATATGCCTTTATATGCGCCTGCTAAGAGCACTCTAGATAAGGAAAAGACTAAGAAAATTTATTAGAATGTTTTTTATTAATATGCTGTGTAAATCCTCTTGCTAAAAAGAAATTCTTATAGAGGGGGCAGTATGCTGGTTTTCTTGTCTGAGATTGGATATTTAGTGCATGTATCTTGCTATGGGTTTGCTTAATATAATTGCTCTAGGCGCATGGATTAGCCTTAATCCTAAACTCGCCTAATTTAAGGTGCTTGTAGGCTGGGCAGAAGAAAGGTGTCTTGAAATTATAGATGTTATGAATATGTCTTATTAGTAAAGACCTGTTAGTAAATATGCTATAGTTAAAGAGGCACTGTGGCTGCTTAGATACTTAAGGTTGTAGAGGTTAAGTGATAGCGGCAATATCCTTATTGCCCTCTAGCAGCTGTCCTCTTAAGTGCATTATAAGCTTGTTAGGGAGTGTTATAGAGGGCAGTTAGTCTGTAAGTAGTAAGGAAAGTTTCTTAGCATTACTATTGCTTTACTAGAAAAGGACTTATTGCAGGCTAGTGGCAAGAGGATTATGCAAGTGCATTATCAGTTTTCCCTATGCTTGCAATTAATTAACCTTAGTGAAATAGGTTTAGCGTTTTTAAGTTAATAAAAGTTTTTCCAGGCAGTCGTTAATTTATTAAAGTCGCCCCTAGATCTTCCCTTCCTCCTTAGATTTTAGACTGTGTTTACTGCATATAGCAGTTAACTCTTGTCTTAGAGCTCTTATATCTTCCTATTTCTTAAACATATTCTATTTATGCTTAGTAATATAAAGAGGGGCGTAGGGGTCTTGTTATAAGAATGCTTAGGATATAACACTTTATAAGGCGTTGTCTTATTATCTAAGTTCACTAAAAGCAATCTGCAATAGCTTGTCTTGTATTTAGACTGGCTGGTAGGATCTCTTAAAGACCTCTGTTATATATAAAAGTATATAGTTCTAAATAGCTAAAGTTAAGCTTTCTGTTATAAAGAAAAGAGTGTTAGCAATAGGAAGAATAAACAGATTACTGTTAGGATTAACCTACTATTAAGCCGGCCTCTAGCGCTAACTCTTAATGCATATAGTCGTTTTCTTTTACAGGACCCTGCGATAAACTGTATATAGTTCTAAACGTTTAGAAACTTGTTGTAAGATATTGGGATAATTGCTTTTTTCTCTTTAAGAACTTTGTTACTCTATTTAAGCTGGATGTAATTTACGCTACTTTTAAGAGGTCTAGGCTGCAGGACCTGTTTGCATGAATGATATTAAGCTTTAAAAGCATTATTAGTAATAGCCTAGGCTGTAAGAAAAGTGATAAGATAGAGCAGTTTATGCGGAATAAGTGTTATAGGAAAGCGCAGTCTGCGTAAGTAGGAAGATGTTAGCTTAACTAATACTTGGTTAAAGGAGGGCATTATAGGTAATATTACTTAGAGCGCTGATCTTTTTAAATGCGATCCTTCTTTTGCTTGATGTGGTGAATGGTGATAAATGCCACTGGCCAGGTCTTGGTTAGAACGTTCGGATCTCTGACCTAAGCAAGCTTAATATTGTTATAAAGGATGTTAACGAGACTGCTTGGCCTCTAGCCACTAATGCTACCTAGAAGCGTGGCATAATAGAATGTAAGGCGCATGTGTGGCCTGTAAGATATATGTCTAGCGCTTGTCTAGACTGTGTTAAGATAGAAGATTACATCTTCTGCTGTTATCTTGGATTTCTTGAAACTCTGCTTAAGGGAAAGACCAAGTTCATGAGCCAGATGCGGAATCTACTAAGCTTATTGCAACCTGTTAGTGCTCTGTTAATTGTTTTAAGCGATTAAAAGGGAGTGTAAGATAAATACTTACTTAAGTAATCTTATATGCTGGACTGTGACTGTAACTAATATTTTGGGATAAAAGAAGGAGATGCTAGACTGATGCTTTGGCTAGATCCTTACTTTGCTTTGCTTTTAATACCCTACTATTGGCTTTATTAATAAGGAGAGTCTATATGTCTTTAACCACTAAGGCGCTTTAAATGGTTTGCACTTCTATATACTCCTCTAGACCTAGGCATAGACGTTTTATAACCAAGCCTTTAATATACATCCTGAGGAATGTTTAGAAGATTAATTAGACTTGCTTTATATTAATATAAAGATTAATCTAAAGGCTATTAGGGTCTAGATCTAGATTTAAAGTAAAGCTAGATAATCTTAGCAGTTAGCACCTGCTTAAGAGCGGCTAGGACTTAAGTAGGAGGGAGTAGCGTTATACTGTTCCTAATTCTCTTAGATTCTATTATAGCGCTTTTATATATATAGGTCTATATGTGAAGCTTTATTAAGTGGGCTTGCCTGGTATTGTATAAGGGAAGCTAAAGCAGCTTCTTTATTAAAAGCCTGTTAGCAAGGTTGTTTAAAAGGATAAGGTCTTATAAGAGGACTAGGATAGTGGTTTAGAGGAGCTGGATTAGTAGTGGTGGCTATAATGATAACTAGAATAAGAACTTATAATAGTAGATGTAAAGGTAGATTAAAGAAAGAAAGTAGATTATAATAAATAATGCGCAGGAGGTTAATATAGCCTATAGCGAATAAGGATGTGCAGAGTGTAAATTATTAAAGAGTGCTAGAATTAGATAGGATGCGCGCGCTTATTTATTTAAAGATTGGAGGAAAGGCCAGCGGTTATATAAAGGGGGGGGTGTATTAGCGGCTAAAGAGAGGGAAGTGGAGCCCTGTAGGAAACAGAGTCGGCCTTAGAAAGCATTTGCTCTGTTTCTTATTAGATAATGGAGGGCTGAATTGGCAGAACCTCGGGAAGGTTTAATAACTAGAGGGGGTTCCCCGTCTGCTCCCCTATAGATAAGCCACTAACCGGCAGATTAGTAGTTGGGTGGGTGACCACCAGCGAACACCGGCTGTTGTATGTTTTTGCCTTTTTTGCCATCTTGCACATATAGGTAATGATCACTCATCATATCACCTTCAAGTGTTGGTGTTCCTATGTCACAAGTCTCTGCAGTATATTTTTGGCTTCTGATGGCTGTATGCTAGGCGAGGGGCTTATGTGACTAATCGAAAGGCACGGGATTATGAGTACCTAGGTAGGCACACCATTACATGTATAAACCGCCCGTGTGTGTTGATGGCACAGCCTCGCCGGGCATCCAAACAGGTTGTAGCAACACATGTCGTTCCGTCAAAACAGGTAGCCGATGCAGGCTGTGATTGGTGCCCTGCTAGCAGGAATGCCCAGGAGAATAACATGCCGTTGCGGCCCAAGCGGCTGCAGCGCCTGATTGCCACCTGCATCACAGTTGGTCATATACCGAAAGACTTAAGCAACAACTGAAGCAAAGCTCCATTGAACATACGTTACGAGCTCTCAAGATGGGGATCTCAAAACTAAAGCAGAAACTACGTGCCGGCACCTCCTCCTTACGGAAAGCCATCCGGGAGGGAACCGCCCGTGCGCAACCTGCCGATACGGTGTAATGCCGATCCCCTCGTCAGCCCGAGCATCCCTTCACGTCCATACAAGCCCTAATCGTTGACACCCAACAGGCCATCAAGCCAGATCAAAGCTGGCTCCACGGATCGAACTGGCAAACCAGATCAGCTAGAGCAGCTGCCGCCAAAGACCAGCGATGCCGACGATACGAACGATGTTGACAGTATCAACAATACCAAGGATGCCAACGCTCATCACAATAGTAACGATAATAATGATGTCGAAAATACGAATGATACCAGCAACATCAATGCTATCAACAATAACGACGTACCAATCCGCCATCTCTGGAATCTGGCGTACGAAAAGTTACGGAAGGAAGACGGACGACTCATCGACGACTACGAAGCCAAGATCCGCAACAGCCTCAGCGCTGGTGTTAGCTGTACCATTGGCTCAAATGTCAGTATGAGAGACCGGATGGAGAACATTCTCCGAAACAAGATGAAGGAGGTCAACGATAATGCCTGGAAAATCAGGTTTGGTACTTCCGAAGTTCAATTCAAGGATGTGGCGGACAATATACTGGGTGTCATCAACTGGGCGAATGAGTACATCACCAACGCTCTGAAACCGAATCCGTGCGCCTCCATGGCGTGGGCGGGCGTCAGTCTACTGCTACCGGTGAGTCAACTTGAGGATGTCTCGGTTACAAGACTTTCGTATGCCAGCTTCTTGTTCATTGACTAATTCATTACCCCCAGATCTTCCTAAATACCTCTACGCAGGCGGCCTCACTTGCGAAGGGCCTGAAATCAATATCATTCCTGATTGCGCAAAGTCGTTTGCGAGAAGATCTCTATGTTCGGCAATACGAGGCCGAGGCTCGGGTTCTCCATCAGGAGCGGCCAAGTTTGTCCCACCACGTATATAAAGACAGCCTGGAAATGCTGTATCGAGAGATACTGAGGTTCCAGGCCACGAGCTACTGCTACTATGCTAGTAATGGCGCATACCGACTAGGTCTGGATATGGTTAAATGGGAGGACTGGGACGAGCTGCTGGGTCGGGTTCACGACAGTGAAAGCAACTTCACGGCTGTTGAAGCGCTCTGGCGGGATCTTAAATACGATGAGGAGTGCTCAGCTGCTGAGAAACGGCACCAAGAGTCTCTGCATCAATGGACCGAGATGCGCACAGATTTGTCGAGCCTGCGCAGGGCCATTGAGTATGCCCAATCCGATGATAGTCGCCGGAAACTCCTGACTTGGCTCTGCGATGTTGATCCGTCCGAGATGTACAATGCTGCTCGTGATAAACATGCAGCTGACACAGGCGAGTGGCTTACGTCCAACAGTGAGGAGTTTAAAGCTTGGGAATCTTCTCCCTCGTCTTTTCTTTGGCTTCACGGAAAGGGTGCGTCTGCGGCCGAGGGTATAAAGCTCTTAGAACTGGTTGACTGACATTTTATAGCCGGTTCCGGAAAGTCCATCCTGAGCTCCGTCGTCATCAAACACCTGAAAGATCAGCACGCGTCCGATCCCTCGACTGCACTCGCCTTTTTCTACTTCAGCTTCAGCGACGTGAAGAAGCAAAGAGTAGGGCAGATGCTGGCATCGCTTGTTCAGCAGCTCTGCGCTCGACGACCTGACACACCGCAGCCGATCCAGAGGCTCAAGGAGTATCAGGAGAAGGGCCAGCGCCCAGATACCGAGACACTTGAATCAATCTTGCGAGCTGTTGCAACCGGGTTCTCAGCTGTTCACATTGTGATTGATGCTTTGGACGAGTGCCCGACTTTGCAGGGAGAGCGAAAAATGCTTCTAAAGAGCTTGCGCCAGATCATGACCGATGCACCTGCCAACCTCCATATGTTTTGCACAAGCAGGAAGGAGGCAGACATCAACACCGCAATGACTGATCTTCTGTCACTGCCCCTGAAGGCAGCTGCTATCAATTTAACTGCCGAAAGGGACATTCTCGACAAAGATATTGGCTCATTCATCGATTCAACGCTAGCTTCTGGGGATTGCTGTTCATGGCCGGATGATATCAAGGCCAAGGCGAGAAGATCGTTGATCAAGAAGGCAGACGGCATGTAAGCATTTGCAAGGAACCTGGTACACATACATCATCAAGAGTCTAACTGCGGGATCCAGGTTTCAGTATGTCTTCCTCCAGCTCGAAGCACTCCAGCGACTCTCCTCTTCTCGCGAGGTCCTTGAGGCGCTCTCAGGCTTGCCCTCCGGCCTTGACGCAACTTACGACAGGCTGCTTCTGAGCCTAGACAAGAGATTCCAATCTAATATAATTAGCTGTTTGAAATGGCTTGCCTTTTCCGAACGGAACCTTATGCTAGAGCAGCTCGCAGAGATATTCATCCTTCATCCCGAGCGCGACCCCCCGTTGGACGATTCGGAGCGGCTCTTCAAGCCCGAGGACGTTCTGAAATACTTGTCCAGTCTGATCGTCCTTCAAGAGGTGGAACGCGGATATAGGTGCTACACGACTATTCGACTGGCCCACCTCTCAGTCAAGGAGTATCTGCTCTCCAGTCGCATCCACAAAGGGCCCGCTAGGGACTTTGCTTTCAACGAAGAGGACGCCCATCTTCATATCGCGCACTCTTGCCTAGCTTACCATCTCCAACGGAGTGCCATGGTCGAGGAGGACACTGAGAACATCCAACTGAAGCGATATGCCGCCCGCGAGTGGCCATCGCATCTTGAGAAGGTGCCGCGCACATCTTGGCCGGACAAGGTAAAACAGGCAGTAAAACGAGCCCTCGCGATTCGCTGCCCGGCGTTGTATCACCAGCTCCGCGCAAGCAAAGACATGCCCCAACACAGCATTGGCCTCGGCGGCGATGCGCACATGTGGCTACGACCGCAGTGTTATGCCGCGCGGCAGGGTTTTCTTCAGCTTACGGATATACTGCTCTCGCGCGAGACTGGCGTCAATAAATACATAACCCGAACAGACCTCAATGCAGCCTTGCATGATGCAGCCTACGGAGGGCACATAGAGGTCGTCCAGCTGTGCCTAGACAAGGGTGCCGACGTCAATTCGAAGAGCGACATCTTCGGAGACGCCCTGCAGGCGGCGGCCTATAATGGACATGCTCCGATTGTGAGTCTCTTGCTAGACCAGGGCGCCGACATAGGCGCGCAGCGTGGCGGATGGGGTTCTGCTCTCCAGGCTGCTGCGGAGGCACAACAGCTAGAGATACTGAAGCTTCTTGTTGGCCGTGGTGCGAGTATCGACCTTCCGTCGAACGAGTCCGGCTGCGTTCTCACATCAGCCGTCAACTTCTGGTCCTGCGACTGTTTGTTATACCTTCTTGATGCCGGTGCCGACATCAATAGGCAGGGCGGCGGCATCCACGGGACCGCACTGCACGAGGCGGCAATGGGGTCTGGGACAGACATGGCCTTTCGATTGCTGCTTGAAAGAGGCGCAGACGTCAATGCACCAGGTGGGAAATACGGCTTCCCGCTTCAGGCAGTGTGCGCCAAGGGCGGCCCTGAAGAGTACGTCAAGCTCTTGTTAGATAAGGGTGCAGATGTAAATGCACAAGGGGGCGAGTTCGGTAACGCTCTGCAGGCAGTGTGCCATTATCGACATCCAAGATTGAGGATACGGCCTGAAATTACACGAGTCGTGGAGCAATTGATTGACAGAGGAGCTAATGTCAATGAGGAAGGGGGTCGGCTTGGGACAGCTTTGCAGGCCGCTTGCGCGAGCGGATATGATGAAGGCCTCGTGAATCTTTTGTTGGCGAAGGGGGCTGATGTGAACATCCACGGAGGAAAGTATGGCACCGCCTTGAATGCAGCGTGTCTCACCACCAATGGCCAGAATGTATACCGGGCTCTTCCCTATGATGAGAAGGGTTCGGGGTGGGTTTCTCCCAGAGAGAATATTATAGAGCGGCTGTTAGACAGAGACGCAGAGGTGAACGCACCACCATGTAGTTGCTGCGCGACGGCGCTGCAGGCAGCCTGCAAAGGCGGCATCATCGAGGAGGTGCGCATGTTGCTCGCCCGTGGAGCCGAAGTGAATGTCCAAGGGGGCAAGTATGGAACTGCACTCCAGGCAGCTTGTGCTGGTGCAGATACACATCGCAGCATGGACATAATCAGGCTTCTGCTTGAGCGTGGTGCTGATGTCCACGCCCGAGGCGGCTTCTACGGCAGCGCCTGGCACGCCGCTGCGGCGCAAACCTCCGACGAAGAAAATCAGAACGACCTGCTTGAGCAATTGCTGGACCTCGGTGTGGACATCAACGACGCGGGCGGAAAGCAGCACCCTACTGCCCTGCAAGCTGCCGTTGCGAACATCACTTGGTATAAGAGTGAATCCTGGGAGAACCGGATCTTGTTTCTACTCCATCGCGGCTCCGACCCCAACGAGGCAGCCGGGGAATATGGCTTCCCGCTGCAACACGCCTGCGCAATGCAGGTCGATGAGTCCATATCCCTGGCAGTTCCTGAAGATCGGGCCATATTCCTCCTCGAAAATGCCGATCTCAACGTCAACAATCAAGGCGGCTTGTTCGGGTCGGCTCTGCAGGCAGCGGCGTGGACAGGAAAAGCAAGAGTGGTAAAGATTTTGCTGGACAAGGGAGCCGATGTCAATATGCGTGGCGGCAAGTACGGCAGTCCGTTGAATGCGGCGGTCCTCCAGGGCTATTGCGATATTGTCGAAATACTTCTTGACCGCGGGGCAACGCCGGACTGCCACCAGTTTCAGGAGGCCGACGAGACTTGGCTACAAGAAGTGGAGGTGGAATGCAGTGAAGAAGCGGTGGAAAGGTATAGATTAGTTTGGGAAGGGCAGAAAAGCTGTATGTAGTTGAAGGATGTGTTTCTTTCAGTCATGGAGTAGTCTCCTGAAGCTTTTGGTAGATTCTGGCATGGCTTGGGAGATATTGAATATCATGAGTGGCTTATGCTGCATATCAAGGTTATAGATAGAAACTCAATAGGCTTTCAGTAACGACCTATAGAGAGAAGATTATACAGAAAACTAATACAGAGTGGCATCTCCTATCCATCTTTAGTCAAGGCAGTAAACTGATGATATTGATTTGCGGGAATGTTATGTAGCCACACCGATGCAACAACTCTACATTCTCCACCCACCCAATGCTTGTGTTTTCATGGAAGCAGATTAGCCATTTGCCGGACCTTATTTATATACAACTACCTGTAGTATAAGTGTCAAGCCCTCCTAAAGGCCGGTATGAGTTTGCGATGTACTCGGCGCAACTGTGCTATACCGGGCTGAGATGGTCAATGAGGCTATACACAAGACTGTTGACCACGGTACATCCATCTCCGTCACGGAGGGCTCGCCTGTATCCTGTATGTAGCCACTGATGAATATCCTCTATCCCCAGCCCCTTGAGATTCTGTTGTGCAATGATGCCATATGCGATTGTGCAACTTGTTGTAGACTCGCCAGGTTGTTGCGGAGGTAAATTTGGGCTGTCGTATCGGGAGGCAAAAGATAGGCCTATGTCAGAAGGATCTCTTTCTATATCATTCATTGATATCAAATCGGTCACGGCAATTTGTTCGTAAGTAGGTATATCATCGAGCCTCCTTTGTTCCCCCAAATTCTGGCAGCAACGTGACCCTGAGATGATTTGAGATGCGGTGGTGCTTGATCCATAGCCGAGGGTTGTCGCATCAGAAGGAGACCCTCTTCTTGCCTCGCTCTGTAGCCGCTCAACTTCAGCTGCAAGCGCCTTGATGCGATTCTCCGCGAAAGCCAACTGTCTCCGTGATTCCGCAAGTTCTGATTCAAGGCTGGAGATGTGAGCTTTGACTTTAGCTCGATGTCGCCGCTGGTTGTTCCGGATTCGATTGGCTTTTTGTTTGGGACAGCTGGAAGACCATTTGGATGTCATTGACGTGGGCGGGGAACTGCATGTAGGCATGCTGACTTTGATCCTGAATTGGGTTGGTCAAGCGATGATGAGGCGGTGAGACTTGAGGCAGTAAATTCTCAATAACCGTGTCGTCTTGACTTCAGACGACAATGAAGGCAGATTTCAGCTCGTTGCTAACCTTGTTCAGGTTGGATGTTGGAGAGACCCAACTTGGGTGGACGAGGGGGGGAGATGACATATCGAATAGTTGCCATATTAAGGATAGTGCGTCTATGATGTAAAGGATGCATACGGAGACGAACTCCAATTGGCCAAGAGTATCTCGACTTGGACAACTAGGATACCTAATGGGTGCTCAGAGGCATGTTGGGAGAGACTCATGCACAATCAGGTATAAAGAGGGTCCACGGGGCCCTTCTTCTCTCTCCTGTGACTTAATAGCAAACCTGGCATCAGTACCATTGTTACAATGAGTGCTCAGAACATTTACGCAGAAGTTGGCAAGCGATACTCTGCTGCTGCAGCAGGGGTCGAAGCCCAGTATGCCTCTTCCGTTGCAAAAGCCTTTGGGTATTCACTTGAGGAGCTATCAGACATTCCCCAGGATGCCAACCTTGGCCTCTCTTGCGGTAACCCCCTTGCTACGGCCACTCTCCGCGAAGTCTGCTTCTCTGAGCCCGAATGACTCTGTGAAGCGTTACTGACGAGTCATCATAGGGAGAGACTGTCATTGACCTTGGCAGCGGTGCTGGGTTTGACGTATTCCTTGCCGCCAATAAAGTTGGTCCAGAGGGCAAAGTGATTGGCGTAGACATGAACGAGGTGAGTTTCAGTCAAGGCCCACAGGAAGTCGTTCACCTTTCCCTCTAACATGCACAGGAAATGCTTAGGAAAGCCGAGGAATTGAAAGTTTCCTCCGGCAAGCAAAACGTCGAATTCGTCAAGTCGCAAATCACACGGATTGCTCTCGAAGACAGCATAGCAGACTGCATCATCTCCAACTGCGTCATCAATCTCGTGCCCGAAGAAGAGAAACAACTCGTCTTCCACGAAATGTTTCGTCTGCTGAAGCCCGGCGGACGAGTTGCCATCTCGGATATCCTAGCCAAGGGCCCGCTGCCTGAAGACCTTCGGAAGAGCATGGCCTTGTATGTTGGTTGCATTGCTGGAGCGAGCCAAGTGGGCATGTACCAGAAGTATTTGAAGGAAGCTGGGTTTCACGGTGGGGGAATCTATGCTCGCCATTTAGGAGACTGCTGGCTGACTGAAGTGTCTAGGTATTGTGATACAGGACACGGGAAACGATCTGAATGTCTATCGCAGTGCAGCTGTGGATAACTCCGGCCAGGACCCTTCCGATGGGACGCAAGACAAGTGCTGCTGTGCGAAAAGCTCGACACAAGACGGCTTTATCATGAAGGATGTGGACTATAATGAATGGACTGGTAAGTTACGCGATTTGTCTTTTTGACCAGACTGAACTAATAGCTCTCATAGCTTCGTACAACATATTCGCGGTCAAGCAGTAATGGGAGGCCACACTTGGAGGACTAAACTATTCTGTCAATGCCTTGAATTATGAAAACCAGTCCACTGATGAGCTCAGGTACCCAGCGGCAAGCATATATGTAGATTCCTCGTCATACTTCAACTTTTGCATACAACATACACGAATGGACCCTCGATTGTACCCTGGAGGGAGTGTGTCAGACCCAATGCGTAACTGGCTAGCATACACCGACGCCGTGAACTAATTTATTCGTTAGTTAACTGCCAGGCAGCCATCCTCCAGAATCTACTGACAACCTGAAGTTCCACCTGCTGGCCTTGCAAGTAGTGATCAGAGGTAAACAATCTGAAGCATTTAACATGGATGACGCTGATGAGAAAGCCACTGGACAGTGTCCAGGCATAGACGCGCTGTACGAGCACTTCTTACATGTCCCTGAATAATGGACGATACACCCTTTGCAGCTGCGAGCGACCTACTTGTGACAGCCATCAATCCAGCGCGTGGTGACTTGCCGGGGATGGATCACGACCGCTGCGCCGCTCTGCACAATCATCTCGTCCATTACGCCTGGATAGCTGAGGGCCGCCCACCCGAAAGATTACACCACAACAACAAGACCTTCTTCACCACCCATGGAGAAGCAGCAGAGGCTCTCCGCGAAAGGCTCAACCCCTCGCTGGCTGCTTTCCTTACCGCCGCCCAGCTGCCTCCCGATGGTCCGGATGACGCGGAGCCTGCGCCATTGTTTGTGTGGGCTGCCGGCATCTCTGAGCCAGACGACTTGTTTCTTCAAGAGGCGGCTGACTTGCACGACGAGCCAATTGACAGCCTAGTCTGCCTGTATTACCCCAACATCGGCCGTGGCGGAGAATCAGGGGGCGGCCTCATATATCACCAGCGGCATCATCGCGCCGCCGTGCTAATGCATATGGATGACTACGACTATGTCCTACCATTCGCGGCGCATCAAGAGCTTTGGCATCCTCTTGAGACGGTTCTCTCCAATTGGATCGGTCTCATCCATCTTGGAAAGGCTCTTGTCACAGCATCGCCTCGAGATGAACCTGGCCTCTTTGGCAACGAAAAGATTGGACCCTGGGAATGGCGGCCATACAGCGAGGCTCAGGTTTCGAATTGTGTCGCCGCATGGAGTCGGCTGTGTGAAGCCATGGAGAGGCGTATAGGCGACAATCCTGATACTGACGGTTCACAGCCTCTGCTCGTCTCCAGTGCCTTGGACGCAGCATCAGTCCCTGAACCTTGCTTTGCTCGCTGCTTTTTGACCCGCGCACGCCGGCCTCGCTTCCATCGCATTGCCCCAGGTCTTGTCTTGCCGCCTTCAGACGCAGCTGCCTTTGCGGCAATACAGCCCTTTACCGGATTGCCTCGCTCCCATGATGCCGTAATACCACCGATATGCCTCTTCCCTGCCGCACCAGGCCAGCAAAAAGTTGTCTTAACGGCATCATCTAGCCCCTTTTGCGGCGACTTTCATCCAACAACTGCCAATCTATTCGTCCCGTCCAAAGTTTGCGCCGGGGTATACAGTGAGTCTGTGGACAGAACCTCGGGTCACGACTACGCGGAGGAGGGTTTTTGGCTGCTTCTTCCATACGGCTTCGACAACTACTGGGGTGCCAGTGACGGCGCGCGGAAAAGCGACGGCTCGTTGATCGAGAGAGGCAAGCTGGCGGATCTCTTTCAGCATGGATACAAGCCTTTTGGGGGAGACTATTATCGCCCTCAGCGCCTGGAGCGTCTACTGGACTGGTGGTGCAAGCTTGTGGAGGAGGGTGTCTGGTCTGTTGGGCCCGAAGGCGTACAAGGAACTCTTGATATGTTCAAGGATGCTGGGACGGCACGTTGGAGAGACTATGTCATCCCGCCGACTTGGTGATCACTAGAGAATTCAGGCAGGCTGGTTTATTCTGAAATGCACAAGTAGCGCACACGGGCCTTATCTGTACAAGTAGAATCTGTTTCTGCTTGTCTATATAGATAGAAGCAAATAGAAGAACTCTCAAACCTGTGCCATGCCTATCAGATTCTCATTCAGTGACTCCAGCAAGAACAGATCTTGCCCAAGGAGGGTCGAGATGGAGGGGATCACGAGGGCATCGGAACAAACAGACCAGAGCACAGGTCTCGGAATTCGTGTAGAGCAACAAGTGTACGTGCAATTGAACGGAAGAGTGATGAATAGACTAAGCTAGCTAGAGAGTGCGGACGCAGATATCGAAGCCTGTGCTGCATTGACCCCAAGATCATGTGCCTTGGCACAGACCACTACAGCTCTGACAGAGATTTACTACACTTCGAATTGGAGGACTCGAAATCTACTTTCATCTTTTTCTAGGTTTTCTAGGCCCGACTTTTAGATGTTATTACCTTCTCATCATCTTCGTCTCGACACAACACGCTCTTCGATTCGTTTTCATGGCTTCCAGTCAGGATGGGGAGCAAGCCCCCCTTCTACAAGCAAATCGTCATGGCGACGACAATGCCGGAGAACCTGCGGTTGTAAATGCTCCTATATTTCGTCTGGCCATCATTGTGAAATGTCTTCTGTTGCTCGTCTTGATGGGTATTGGACAGACACTCATTATACGGCCACTGAATCAGATACAAGAAGACATCTTCTGTTACAAGCCTAACACAAACGATACAAGAGTTTTAGACAACTCCTCTTGCAGACACGACGAATCGTCTCTACTTCGAAGCTGGATAGCCGCTTCTGAAAGTATCATGACTTTCTTAACCGCTGCGCCATGTGGTATGGCGGCTGATTTATATGGACGTAAACGAATACTCCAGTTGTCCATTGCAGGTACCATTTTGGCACAGGCATTTCACGCGACTATCTGTGCGTGGATATATAACACGCTATATTCGAACACATTCAACTGACTGACTGTCTGACTGACCTCATCGCACTGCAGGTCGATTCCCACAAACGTTCCCAATACACTTGGTGGGGTTAAAGGGACTTTGGACTCTATTAGGGGGTGGTAGCACCGTTGTTTCAGCCATGATATTCACCATAGCAAGTGACATCACCTCAGACACGCAAAGGTAAGTGAACATATGTTCCCCGACCTATATTTTGCCATAAGTATTAACATCCTCGGCTGGTCAACAATGTTCTTCTGCCTTACGGGCGCTGTAATATCGGGTGGACTGCTCTCCTATCCGGTATTGCTAGTTCTTTCATACCTAGGCAGTTGGATTTCCGTATCTGCCGGGTTTGCTTGCCTATTTGCGTCGTTCTTGATCACGCTCACCTTGCCAGAGACTGGCGTACCTGGCGTCAGGAGTGGTGATCCAAGGATAGCATCTGAGATACCAATTCCTTCGTCTTACAATCCTCGACTCACCCGATTTCTAACGTCAATGGCCGGGTTAACCCATCGTGCTTTCACCGAGAACAAGAAGCTAGGCATGCTTATAGTAGCCTGTCTATTCACCACGACGGGCAGCAACGTACAACTCCTCTTTAACCAGTCATCTTCACAGCGACCCAGCTCCGCAGACATAGCAGTTAGTTCAACATGTTTCGCGCAATGCCCTATGAACCATCTTCCATCGCTGACCACCTGACACTAGATATACATCTCGATAGTTTGGTCCAGCATTCTAAAACTCGTCTTGTTGACCATGGTACTGCCGCTGATCAGCCATCTCCTCACCGAAAAACTACGCTTCAGTCCACTAAGAAGAGACGTATCCATCTCTCGGGCTAGCATTGTAGCTCTTGTGGTCGGATCTGTGGGGATAGCAATTGCAAAACAAGCCCAGTCAACCAAAGTGGTCGCAGCCATCTACGTCTATGCTCTTGGATGTGGCTATAGCCCAGCCATGTATAGCCTCCTTGGCCTTTTGTCCGGGGGCCATCACATTGGCCTGTTGTATGCAATTATTGGGGCAATGCAAAGCATAGGTACCTTTTTAGCCGGGCTAATGCTTGGGGCCACGGCTGAAATTGTGCCATTTATATTTACAGTCATGTTTTTGGCTGGTGTTGTGGGTGCCTTGTTTTATCTAAAGTTGGAAGACACAGAGGAAGGGGAGCCAATCTGGATTGATATGGATTATCTTGAGTCGCCGAGCAGTTAGTAAAATAGGGTCAACGGTTGGAAGATTTCAAAAGGACATAAGCAAAGAAGGGAAAAAGTAGGGGAGAAGAAGAGAAAAGAAGAAGAGAAAACCCCGTATGAAATGCAACTCCAGTTCTAGAGGCCTGGGATGCCAAATTGGAAGATAAAGCACTCAGGAGAAATGCTTGACAGGACCTCGAGTTTTCCACCACCTACCTACGGTAAGGTGCCACATATGCCGTAGATGCGTATACAACGCGTTCAAGTGTGGCGCATTTTCGAGTCAATTCAGGGATGGCTTCGATGCATGGCAGATCCAATTGCACACGAGCAGCGCAATGTGATGATATGGGCGATCTCTCGGCCGATATTTTCGTAAGGCAGACATGTCCAGTCCTCAATAAGCCCGTCGAAGATAACCCTTCTAGACGGCTGAGCATATCGAGCCCATCTAGGAGCCAGCTTCGTAAAACAGTTGGACGTAATGCTTCTTTTAGCCCAGCAATAATACTATTACTCCATCACCTATCAATCACCATGCCAACTCCAGAATAGGTACCGTAACCCGAAAGTCGTCCGTTGCTGCTACACAAAAACGCCGAAAAGCCGAGACATGTCCGCCGCCGCCCATCTCGTAATAATAAACGAAGTCGTCAAAAATCCATTCTGAAACCGTTCTGCGTCACTAATGCGGCCTGCATGGCAACGCATTCTTTACCTTGTTGCTTTACATGTTTCATCACTCTCTTGGCTCTCAGCACAGTCAAGGAGAAGCAAGGCAAGCGAGGTAGAGGATAGTAAATGCTCCATAGAGAGTGTGTAGCAGGGTTCCATCCAGAACCGCTGCTTGAGTTGAGCAGTGCATCTCATTCCTGGGCTTATCTTTATATTACCCCAGGACGTTGAAGTGAACGAAAACAGGAAAAAAAAAATACAAAACGTGATGCGGAGCAAGTAGAATCTGCTCGACGCTCAGGATATGACATGAAACCATAATGGTCAAAAGACCTCCACCCAGACAAAGCTCATCAACCCAAAGCAGCTCCATCACAAGATAGCTCTCCAGTCTATTCTTGTAGCTGTTTCCCTGTAGACCATGTCAGGATTGATGTATCTCCTTTGCAATCAAATCTCAGGGTATAGACCATCGAATGCTGGGTAGCTAACCGGCATATCGAGCACGACCTTGGTGTCTAGACCAGTTCCACTCGCTGTCTGATAGCCCTGGTCTGTATTTCTACCGGACCAATGTGTGTAACAAACATGTCATCTTTCTCAAAGATGAGTCTGTGAAACAGGCGGTGGTCGCTTCTCTAGTACCGGCTATTTTGCAAGAGGCAAGGCAATGAGCGTACAAGGGACAGGCAAACGTTGCCCGCGTGATGTAAAATCAAGAGAAAACGCCGAATCCAAAACCCTAACCAAGGAAATGTCGAAATGGTAAGAGACACTGTAGTCTAGCATCTAAGAAGCATGGCTCGTCTTTCGCCATAAAGACCAAAAGGACAGGCGCTGATGCTAAAAGGTGGTACCAGGCCCGGAGAGAGCAGGCAAACTTGGTACACAAGGGAGAAACCAAAGCATAATGGTCGTTGGACTCGGCAGACTCGGGAGTTTTCTGCACCATTATGCGTTGGACAAAGGCAGCATGTGCTTCCCCAAAAAAAGCCATCGTCATCACATACTACACCAGCTTGCTGTGCTGCAAAAGTCATCTGTGCGAGGCGACCGGCAGGCGCGGCGAGACCATTCCCAGGTCCGGCTTGCTGCTCTTCTTGTCCACCTTTTTCGAAGGCGGCACGCTCTGGTACAGATGGTGCAGCTTGATGTAGTCGTAGACGGAGCGCGGCAGATCGTGTGCGACCTGGCCGTTGCGGATCTGCGCGCGGGCCTTGGTGGACGAGACGTCGTTCTGGAAAGACGGCGGGACGACAAACATGTTGTTGCGGTACTTGCTCAGCGGCTGGATGGCGGCCTGGGTCGCGCACAGGGCCGGCCGCTCGACGATGAAGGCGCCGTAGTAGCCCAGCAGGACGTCGATGTCGGCGGGCGCCCAGATCTTGGGGTCGCTCATGGTGAGGGCGAGGTCGGCCCCGATGAGCAGCATCACGCGAGCCCGCACAAAGGTGCCGTCGGTGGTCTGGATGCCGCCCAGGACGTCGTTGAGCTGCTCGTCCAGGCGCTTGAGCACGTCGGCGGTGCGGGTGTAGACGGGACGGCCGGCCTCGTCGCGGCGCAGCGTCTCCCAGTCGTCGATCATGGCGTTGCTGCCGGTCTGCTCAATGGCGAGGCGGCACCTGATGTCGACAAGAATCAGCGGCTGGTCTTCTTCTAGTAGTAGTACTAGAGGAGGAGGGGGGAAATCCAGGGCTTACATGTTGATGCGGTGGTGAGCGGGCACCAGCGAGCTTTTGCCGTACGTGTCGCTGCACGGGCTCATGTAGCTGCCGACCAGCTCGAAGCCGGTGCCGTGGGCGTAGCTCTCGGCCGCGGAGAACATGGACATGTGCAGCAGCGTCGGCGGCGAGAAGCTGCCGCACGAGACCAGCACCAGCGGCGTCTTGTTTGCGTGCGTCAGGCGGCGCTTGAGCCTGTCGTGGGGGAACGAGTAGCCGTGGTAGGGCACCTCGGACAGCGGCTCGGGAGGGGGCGTCGGCGTGCCGGCGGGCACATTCGAGGGCCGGGGAGGCGACGAGGCAAAGGCTTCTGCCGTGATGCCGCCCATGGTGTGCGTCTGATTTGGCGAGGATGATGGATGGGTACGAGGTGGTGGTTGGTTGTGTGGTGATTGTGGCTGCGGTTTGGTTGAAGTCGGAGAGACTGATGACGAGAGAAGAGAGGGGGGGGAGAAGAGTGTCAAGAGAGGGAAGAGGAGAGGGAGTGAAGGCGGGAGAGTGCGCAAGAGCGTGAAAACGACAGACGACGCTTCTTATGCAGCAGCTCCATGTACTTGTAACTCGGCCGTCTCAGCAAGGGCTCCGTGATGCCGGTTGTCGGGCTGGTGGTTCGTCAGCGCAGGCGGGCCGGCAACGCTTCCGCTGCAAGTCAGTTCCCTGCAAGTCTGTCTGTACCTATGTAGGAACCAGGTCCTTGCAGACAATGCATGAAGCAGTAGAGTAAAAGAGAGAGAGAAAGAGAGAGAGAGGCTATTATCGTTGATCAAGTGCTGCTGGCATGCATCTGCCGCCGCTGGTGATCACGAGGGATGCTGGCAATGTGTGGAGAGCGCAGGACCGTGCAGATTGGATGGAGGAGGGGCAGAGAGGCAACCCTCGACAAAATCTAGATTTGCTCTCCGGACTCGGGCGGCTGAGGCGAGCAGGCTAGCAGGATTAGCAACACACTTGTGGCCAAGTCCGGGGCTTTTGCGTGCTGACTAGACACACAGTCCGGCTGCGGGTGACAGGAGAGTGTGAGATGGTGAGGAAAAAAAGAAAGGCGTCAGACAGGAAGAGACAACATGTATTATGAGGTAGAGAGAGAGCCAGACAGTCGAACCCTAGGTCAATTTGATCCCATCCCAAGCGAACCGGGCTCTCTCATGTCTCACTTTGCATTTCCGTCAAGGTTGTAGTATGTGAGAATCAGGTGGAATCAATCAATCCCCGTCAACCCTTCTTGGCTCTTGCTTGAGTCTCTCTGACCTCGTCTCTCTGCTGCCCTTCGCCAATTTGCCTCCTCTCGTCCTAGCTGCATTTTTCCTCATGGCTACGCCCGATTGTGCCATCCAGTTCCTTCGGGAATACCAAAACAGACACTCCGGTCTGCATGCTTTCATCTTGTTCTGCATTTGTCATGTCCGTCCGCAAGACACAAAGCAGCAAAAAAGCCCGCTTTCCAGCCCGTCAAGTCCGTGTAAAATGTACAATGACTACATACCGACATACACGGATCACGCTTACCAAGTCCACTACCAGCAGCAGTTCTGCTCCCCCCGACAGCCAGAGTTTGCGCCTCCATTCAATTGTTTCCACCGGCCTGCCGAGCCCGCGACTCCCGGTCCGGCTGCTCTTCCTAATAACAACATGAATATACAGTAATACATAGTGCTTCTCGCCCCCCCGATGAATCAGCGCCCATTGGCACATGGCCCTTCATGCCGTCAGCATGCTAGCTAATCTGGCCGGATATCTGCAGGGCATCTCTCTACCTAGCCTTACCCGCCCCGGTCCCACAGCGCCGCTGCTGGCAGGTTTTTTTGATGCAAGCACTTGTGCCTGTGCCTGTGCTTTGTTCTGCAAGGCTCGTGTGTGACCCCGAGTGACGTCTGCCGTACCATCGCCCAACGCACTGATGCATGTGCTGGGAGATGACTGCATGGACCGTGGCAGTTGGCTTGACTCCGCCTCCACAGGACTGAGGGTAGTCGAGGCTGGATGAACTCAATCTGGTTGGACCAAGGACTGTGATTGTGTGGTTCAGATGCTGAGCATTAAGCCGGAACGATGTTTATGTTTATCGTCTACATGTAATATCTTCCAAGTGCATGCAGAAGCGAACGACTTGTACAAGGCGCGATAAGTATCTCGATAAAATTTACCTGTTGGTCACACTATTGGTATAGCAATGGGTGCATTGAAGTCCAAATCAAGAAAGAGAGCGCGCAAGAGTATTGATGACACGCCACTTACACCGGCTTTCATTCACATGTAAGCATCATGAACTTGACAAACAATGAGGAGACATTGAACCGAAGTACTGTAAGGCACCATGACCTGCATATTAGGTGCCCTCACGTATCCTCCTCACTTTGAAGCCGAGAAAGAGAAGATGCTGCTTGTTTGTGGTGGTATAATGATAAGTCGACCAGAGGGTCTTCTCGCATCTGGTCTGAAGTATTCGTCAAACAAGTCACCCGTTGATGCTTGCAAGAGAATTGGTGACTTGAAAGACAATCCTGACGCCGGCCAAGCTCCATCGGGGCACTTCCAAGCTAGGGGAAAGGTGCCTGGGGTCTTTTTTTGGTTGAAGCTGTCGGATTTGATCTTGACAATGAGCACAGTGACACGATCCGAGAAGATGGTTTTGTTGATGCCAATGGCCATTTAGGTACCTACTAGTCAACCAGAGTCATCGACGTCCCATGACGAAAAGTCACTGCATCCCAAATAATTGTGCTCTTACATTAGATGTCAACATTGCAGCCGACTTACACCCTTTACCTATATACTGGTGGCCATCCACTGCGTGGGCGCTGCAGCTACCGGATTCCAAAATGTCGTGATCGGGAGGGTTATTTTCGTTGTGTCGATGCCAATGTCGCTTATTGCAGTATTTTTAACTTGTTATATCAAAAATTTCCATGGTTTTCCTTTCGATCTGCGTATTGGTCTATCATCAGTCAGTCAGGCCCGAGGTAAAAGGTATGGCGATAGGTATGCCCATGAGTTCTAGGCATCTCATACCTTGACCTGTCAGCCTAGTGCCACTCCTACATAGTATGGCTGTTCAACGTGACTTCTTTTGGCATCTGTTTTTCCAGTAATCACATCGTTTTCACTGTGAAGTCATCAATTTTCCTTTGCTTTCAATCTCCATTCACTCCAACAAGCCGGCGACAGCCTTTCCTGGAAGCACGACTATTGCGATTTTATGGAGGTTTAATCTCTATTGTCCACTATTTCAGCGCAAGCTCCGCCGCCTCTGCTGAGATGCCTAGCCTAGTCGGGCACGACTTTCATCATCCTCGCACAGCGCTAGTCCTGTTGAGGCTGCGCCCTTGCGCCGCTCCCGAAGTGCGGCAGCGACTGAATCGGATCCATGGAATTGAATTGCGCATCTGCACAAAGAAACCCCTGAATCTGCGTCTCTGCCTCGACGCCATCATTCCACCTCTTTGCACTTATTTTTCCTTCTTTTCTTTCTTCTTCTCCAATTGCTCTTCTTCTCTTGCTGGATCCTGCTTCACATTCTCGTTCTTCTCACGGCTTCTCCTTCTTCTTCTTCTTCCAACACCTGCGCTGCCCGGGCGAAAATGGTGACCGGGCAAGACGCCGCCTCGCTACACTGACCATGGCCCGGACGAACAACGGCGGCGAGATGACGTTTGACGGCGAGGACGGCCGGCTGCTGGCGCACGACTTCGGCTTCGGCCACGACGATGGCTCCCACGACGCCCGCAACAGCCCGCGAACCGATAGCCCCGCGAGCACCGACCTCGGCATCATCACCAGCGCCCTCAAGGCGCCGCGCTCCGAGTTCGACCACGAGGTCAAGACGCCGCGCACCCCCGGCCGGGTGCAGTTCGACCTGACGCCGCGCATCCTCAACTTCAGCGACGCGCCGCTCGGCCGCCTGTCGACGTCGACGTCGTCGTCGCTGTCGTCCGACGACCGCTTCGACCTCGACGACGCCGCCGCCGCCGCCGGCTACGACTCGCACCGCGTGCCGCTGCTGACGGACCTCGAGGCCCCCAGCGTCACCGTCGCCCGCGAGTGGGACGATGCCCACGGCGACGAGGAGCACGCAAACGCCGCCGAGGCCGAGCTGCGGCGGCCCAAGTCCGGCCTGCAGTCGGCGTTCATGAACATGGCCAACTCCATCATCGGCGCCGGCATCATCGGCCAGCCCTACGCCATGCGCCAGGCCGGCCTGCTGGCGGGCACCCTGCTGCTGCTGGCCCTGACCGTCGTCGTCGACTGGACCATCTGCCTCATCGTCATCAACAGCAAGCTGAGCGGCACCAGCAGCTTCCAGGGCACCGTCCAGCACTGCTTCGGCCGCCCGGGCCTCATTGCCATCAGCGTCGCCCAGTGGGTGTTTGCCTTTGGCGGCATGGTGGCCTTTGGCGTCATCGTCGGCGACACGATCCCCCATGTGCTCACGGCCATCTGGACGGACTTGGCCAGCGTGCCGGTGCTGGGGCTGCTGACGGACCGGAGGGTGGCCATTGCCGTCTTTTGCATGGGGATAAGCTATCCTCTGACTTTATACCGGGACATTGCAAAGGTGGGCTACATTGTTTTGGAAAAAAAGGTCTTGGGCAATCAATTGCTAATGGAAACAACAGCTGGCCAAGGCGAGCACGCTGGCCCTCATCGGCATGCTGGTCATTGTCGTGACGGTGCTGGTCCAGGGCGTCCTGGTCCCCTCGGCCGATCGAGGCTCGTTCAGCACGCCGCTGCTGACAATCAACGGCGGCATCTTTCAGGCGATTGGCGTGATATCATTCGGTATGCCTCTCGAGCCATCCAACACGTTGCAAGCTAAGCCCAGCTAACATGCAAGTGCAGCCTTCGTCTGCCACCACAACTCCCTCCTCATCTACGGCTCCCTCAAGACGCCCACCATCGACAACTTCTCCCGCGTGACGCACTACTCCACCGGCGTCTCCATGCTCGCCTGCCTCATCATGGCGCTCGGCGGCTTCCTCACGTTTGGCGACAAGACGCTGGGCAACGTGCTCAACAACTTCTCGTCCGACAACTCCATGGTCAACGTGGCCCGCCTGTGCTTCGGCCTCAACATGCTGACGACGCTGCCCCTCGAGGCCTTTGTCTGCCGCGAGGTCATGATCACCTACTTTTACCCCGACGAGCCCTTTGACCTGCGGCGGCACCTGATTCTCAGCACGGCGCTGGTTGCCGGCGCCACGACCCTCAGCATGTTGACGTGCGACCTGGGCATCGTCTTTGAGCTCGTCGGCGCCACCAGCGCGGTGGCCATGGCGTACATTCTGCCGCCCATGTGCTACATTAAGCTGACGACGAGAAGCTGGCGCACATACATGGCTGCTGCCATTGTGGTCTTTGGCGTGGCCGTCATGGTCATCAGTGTGATCCAGGCGGTAGACAAAATGATAAATGGTAAGTGTCTAGATTACTTATGCTGCCCGGCAGACTTGAACCACTGTTTCTTTGCTAACGAGTATGCCATACAGGTTCAGAGACCACGGCGCAATGCACTTAGAATACAAATGGCCGACCGCGCCCCCCACGAAACGACGTTTTTTTTTTAGAAATCTTGACTTGTACGACTATATTAGATAGAGAGAGCATGGAAACGGAATATGCATATTGGCCGCCTGGGCTGAAATAAGGACTGTATAAATAAGGAGAGCTGGCATTTTGCTGCGTTCATGTTGTGCGTTTTTCAGGTTCTGGAGTAGGCAGCGTTTGTCCGTCACAAAGGCATTTACATACATGCGGTAATGTATGTTGAGAGGAATAGATACAGAATTGCATACATGTCGGCATCACTCGACTGTACTTTCGCATGCGTTCTCCCATGTCTACCTTGTCATGACAAAAAAAAATCAGTATGCGCATTTTAACAAAATTGCCAACTCAAACTCTGCAACTCCCGGGTAGCCTGGCACTAGACCCATGATCCCATCTACTGCATATCGCAATCAAACAGAGCAGCAACACCAATCCTCAGATTTTACTCACACAGACAAACCTAGCATATACCTATTCAATGATACATATCATGCACGAGCATATTGCATACTAATACTCATCTCGCCTCCCCCCTGCGCGCAACAACAATCCGTCTCTCCTTATCCCCCCAAAACACAGCCCTTCGTCACATGAGTCTTGAATTCACCACCACCCCTAGGACACATGACTTGATCATCCATCCCCCTTGTGCCCCCCCCCCCCTCCACCCGCTACGCCATGAAGGTGATTTCTAGGCAGACAAAGGTAATTGTGCGCATTGAGGGACCAGGATTTGGTCAGCCACAACAGGGAGGCTTCTGACCGACTGTTAATACTGGTGGAGGGCGAAGGAGGAGGAGCAGCAGCTGGTGTATTAGTGTGATTGTGTTACTACCTTAGGTAGGTATGTATGAAGATAAGGCAGCTCAAGTTGACGCCTTTCGAAACCGGAGACTCCAGCATACATACCTCTCTAAAAGAACAGTGTTTCAACCCGTAGCGAGTCGTACAGCATCAAACTTCAACAAACCGCAGATGGTAGAATAATGTCACAACAGTATAAATAATAGAATAGACCAATCCCCTCCATCCTATTACTCAGAACAACACCCTTCCAGATAGCAATCTAGATTCAGACCAGACCAGCCCACCACCCCAATTCCCCGCTTAATGATGCCTTGAACCCATCAACATGCAGGGCCGCCAACCCTCTAAGCGTCGCTGTTCCCACGATGCTAGGGACCTTTATCACTAGGTCCCCTCTCTACCGTCTCTCTCAACACTATTGAGTATCACAGCTACCAGATGATTGCAACAAGAAAGGGCAGACACTAAGTACCTTAGGTAGATGGAAAGTTGCTGTCATCAAAACTTCCCGTAGTACTTCTCTACTCCCAGCACTACACACTAGTAGTACATAAGGTAGTCAACAACCACCCCCATCAAGCGTCCCTCAACCCATCCATCCATCCATCCACAAGACCAATAAGACTCCATCCAATTACCACCTCCCCAGAGACTAATTAGCACACATGCTTTAAAAAGGCACAGCACCCGCATCCCACGTCCAGACCCTACATCCGCGGAGTAAGATAGGGTACCAAATTTAACTCTTTAGGTCCCAGCAATCCTACATACCTATAAAAGAAGCCCTGGGACCATCCAAACTCCAAACTCCAACCTCCAACCCCGCCCCATCTCGACAATCTCTCTCATCGCCAACAACAACAACACCAACACAACCACCCCAATTTCAGACTCCCTTCAACCTCCATATAGAGGCATCATCGATCAATAGATTCAGAACCAAATCCATCATGCAGCCCGTCAACTTCAACCACACCTCCTGCCCCAAATGCTCCGCCACAATAACCTCCGGCACAAAGACCTGCCAGAGCTGCGGCGCCGTACGTCCCCCTCCTTCCTCCCTTTTGCCTCTTATTTACCCTCCTTTTCCTCTCTCTCTCTCTCTCTCTCTCTCTCTCTCTACTCATATATCCGCTTCATCACACCATATCTTCTGCAAACTAACAGTAAACAACACAGACATGCCCTAACTAAAACAACAAATCTCTCCATTCATTCATTCAACCCCTCCCCACCCGCGCTGGGAATGATACCTGCTATAGAGGAAAGGCTTATTATACTCGTATTACCTGTTATATACTCCTAGGTACTACAGGTGGTGCCGAATATAAGGGTCTGACGAACGACGAGAAACTGAATGTCGCCATGCTGTCCTCTGATACTAAGCTGCACGGTTATAACATGCGTCGTGACAAGGCAAGTCTCACATCTCGCCATGCAAGGGATTCGCCATGAACAGCCATCTAGAATAACCACTCGAAGCATACTTGGTCAAAGCAAACGGAGTGCAATGGCATGGCATGAAGCATTACAATCACAACTCAGTTCTAGAAGGAATCCTCAGACAACAAGAATACTGGCATCACAACAATGTTACTCGCAATCTAGCATGTTGTGCGTGTGTGTGCGTGTAAAGAACAAAGCGATATTACAACCAAACCAAGTAAAAAAAAAAAAAAGGTGAAGAAAAAAGTTCTCGGGACAATACAAGACAGGAAAAAGACACACAGCCTGTAGAAATAGAATAAAGGAAAAAGAAAAAAAGCGACAAATATATGATGACCTGTTGTAGAGACCGCTCGCAAGAGTCCCGGCAACTTCCAAAGTGCGAAAAATCCACAGCTACCTACTTACATCCTGCTCTCCTCTCCCATGACTAGACAAACTGCAGGCCCCTCCCCCTTCTCTCTATTCCCTCTGTACGCTCCCGCATCAACCATCGACCGCTCGCAGCTCAGGAGAAACAGAAAGCCAGCTCCAACATTAGGCTCGTCGACCCCGTCCCGCACCACTGGGAAGATACAGTAAAGCAAGACCGGCTTGCCCGCCGGCATTATGACAAGAGGCATAAGGGGGAAAACATCTGGTTTACCTTCTTTCGCAGTCGTCCCTCTTTCCCTAGAGAATCCTTACTCCATGACGGTGATGGGCCTGCAGAACCATGCACGCAACCAAGTAACCCTGCTCGCCCGTGTCCGCTGGCGAAAGACGCAAGACACGCAAAACGAGACAATCAAATTCCAAATCCCCGAGATAGAAAAAAAGAACCTATGCCCGGAGACAGCCGGAGGCCCCATTGTGGCCCGACATCCATCCTCTACCACCCAACCAGCCGCGTGTTGGTTTGTTCGACTTGGCTTGCGAAGAGCGTAGACGCATCGAGTTACAAGGGGAGGGAATGACCGAGCCGCAATTGGGGGAAACGGAGGTGCTCGGGATAGACAGGCACAAGGTGAGAACCCGTTTACAGAACAAGGCACTTCTTGTGGCTGCTCTTGCGGGTGGAGCGAGACATGAGAGCAGCGCGGGTGGCGTGCTCAAAGACCTCGCGGACACCCTGGCCGGTTCGGGCAGAGCACTCCAGGTACTTGTAGGCACCGATCTTCTTGGCAACAGCCTCAGCCTGCGTGCGTGTGTTAGTTTCATTGATGCAGTGTCGCGGACAAAGGCATGGTAACTCACGTCCGAAGAGGACACCGGCTTCTGGTTGGTTGCCCTCAAGGCCTCGATGGTGTTGGGATCGTCTCGCAGATCGGCCTTGCAGCCGACCAAGATGATGGGAAGACCTGAGCAGAAGTGCACGACCTCCGAGATCCACTGTTGGAGACGCGTTAGATGTGTGCTTCAACATGCAGGGAGCAGCTGCAGGTGAACAGATGACGTACCTTCTCAAGAACGTTGTCCAGAGAGTCAGGAGAGTCGATAGCGAAGCAAATCAGGATGACGTGAGAGTCGGGGTAGGAGAGGGGTCGGAGACGGTCATAATCTTCCTGTCCAGCCGTATCCCACAAGGCCAGCTCGACGTGCTTGTTGTCGACCTGGACATCGGCGACGTAGTTCTCGAAGACGGTAGGGACGTAGACCTAAAATGACGGGGCTATGTCAGCACGGAGTTGCTCATCCAGCAGCACGCAGCGATGCCGTCAAGTTCTTCTCTCTTGTCTGGGCGGATGACTCGAATGTGATGAGATAAGATGATGGATGATATTCGACGCAACATTGATGGGTCACGGGTCCAAGGAGACGCCTGCGGCCACTTTTGACACGTCAGGTATTTCCTGTCGCGCCTTGGGGGGGGGGGGGTCGACGCCAACGTCACACAGCACCCAATCTCAGGCTCGCAATGCATCACCGTCGACAAGAAGTTGAGTGATGGCGCTGGAGAGGCGTCGACTGTGGTATCAAGTCGCCAATGGCCATGTTGTGCGTGTATTTGTGTGTTGTATGGTGGTTGGCGGCAAAACATGAGGCGGCGGCTAATGGAAACGCGGCGGAGGGCAGAATAGGGGATGGGATGCAGACGGGCTGCGCTCGATGCGTACCTCAGGGAAAGCGCCCTTGGAGAAGACACTGAATCACAGATTGTCAGCCAAAATGGTCCTCTGGCGCGACTCGAGATGGCGATGCGTCCATCGCCCGGCGAGAGGCCACGGCTGCCTTTGGGGGGGAGGCGAGGCGTGCCGCGGAAAAAAAGACGGGCAAATTTCTGAGGGCGGCTCAAACTCACATCAACAAACAGGTTTTACCGCAGGCACCGTCGCCGACGATGACGAGCTTTCGGCGGATCTCAGCCATGGCGTCTGTGAAGCTTTGCGGGAGCGGGAGATGGAAGAGGCGGCTGGTTGGAGATGGGAAGGCAGAGTGTTGCGGTGGTGGTTGATGGCGGTGGTTGATGGAATGAAAGGAAGAAGCAGAAAGACGGACGTCAGAAGCAGAAGCAGAGCAGAAGGGGGAGTGTGACGGAAGACAAGCTGGGCCTGGCTTCTGGCCCGGGCTTTTGGCCTTTGCAAGGCACAAAGTACTGGGTACCTGGGTGCTTAGCACGGCGTACAGGTGACTTGGGTGGGGAGAGGGGGGGGATTGCGGCAGCGCAGCACAGAGCACAGCAGCAGAGGAGGAGCCTGGGCTGCCTTTTTGCTGGTTCGGGGGGCTGGTGACTGCGACTGGACGCCTTTTTCGGGGTCCTACTGTACGGGGGGAGGGAAAAATAACAACACACATAAAGTACCTAGTAGGTAAGGTAGAGATCATAAACGGAATACTAATGGGGACTGCCTGGTATCCGCCAGGTATCTCCCATGCGGATTCTAGCTGCAGCAGGACTTTGTCGACGATCACTGCTGCTGCCCTGTCCCTCAGTGAGCGCAGCGCAGCGAGTGCTCCTGGCCTCAGCGGGTGGCCGGTACCCGGTACCTCGAGCTAGCGCGTCCTGAGGCAGCCAACAATTTCTGGGGACTCGCCAATGGCTTCCACTGATTGCTCCAGGGCAGAAAGGAGCACGCGGAGGGAGCAGCAGCCACTTGGGCCTGGGCGCAGCTGGAGGTGCTCGGGGCTGCGTGAGTCCTCCCGACACAGCGATCCAGGCATTGGATGCCCATCTCCAATGTTAGGTGGTGCTCGTGTCGGTACCTGTACTTGCAGACAAAGAAGTACTAAGGTGCCGCTGCGAGTATTACTGTACAGTCCGAAGCTGTATTATCTCAGGAGTGCACACCTCGTCAGCCTCTTTTGTTTGCGCCTTGGCGGCTTGCAGCTGGCCCGGCTCAGCCATGAGCCGCTGCGTTCTAGGCTCTCGACGGAACGCTACAGCACTCGACCCTCTGCCGGTACCTGATTGACCGCTTACGACTCGCCGGGCAACATCCATGGCAGCTCATATTCGACACAGGCAAGAGAAACAAGAGGCAAAAGAGAGACCCCGGGCTGGACGCGTCGCCTGGCAGCGGCAGCGGCAGCGGGAGGTGGCTGAGACGCTGGGAGATAAGGCCAGAGACCTGCGGCCAGGTAACGCTAGAGCCCGCCAGGTACACTCTACTCGCTGTTCCAGACGGTGGCACCTGCGAGTGCCTGGCGATACCTGATCCTTTATATTACAGGACTCCACCGATGAGCTCAGACGCGTACCTCTACTCGTTCCCGGCTGCGATTCAGGCGGGATGATGCTGCTTGCTCGAGGTACCGCTACTCGTCGTCTCGGCAGCCTTGAGAGCAGCGCGTTACAGACTTGTGTAGCACTAACAGCACCGTCGCCGCAGCAAGTACAAGTACCAGCCCGCAGCGAGAGGCACGTCCGCGCTTGATGATGGAAGAGGCTGAGATGACGACCACTTTTAATTTGATCCCCCAGAACGATTGCTTTCTCGCGCTGGTGAATCATTTGGCGGTATGGCGGTCTGTTTCGCATCGGCTGGGCCACGACCCGACACCCGCGGTTCAGCAGCGGCTTCACTGCAATGGCTGGACATCGAGAGGCGGAACGTTGCTGCAAGGACTTCGAGTCTCTGCGTTGACGCCCTGATGATGAGGCTGTCTGCCGCAGTGCAAATTGCCTTATCTTGGCCGTGGTAGCACCAGGCATCGCGTACTCGTACCCACCCAGGCGATTTGTTCCTGATTGGACTGGGAATGACGATATCGTCTCCCTACATGCATACGAGCGCGAGCGCATGCTTGTGAAGGTGCTGGTCCAGCCCTCAATCCATCCATCCATACATGCCTTACACGCATTATTATCAGGCCCGGCATCGAGTGAATGCTCCTTGCAGGCAGAGCATCAGCTGTGCGGCCAGTATCCGTACCGGTACTTGGTCTTGGTCATACTACCTAGGTAGTATGGCGTGCCACCAACCAGCTGCGCGCTCTGTGACTCTGCCAACAGAATCTCACCTTGGTCGTGTCCTGTCTCTGTCTCTCTGTTCTGTTCCCCCAGGTCAGACCGCTTTCCGAAGCCTAGGCAGGGTGACACGGCTTGCGTGCCTCCTGACATGACTGGCCCTTGCAACGCCCGGTGGCAAAGTCCTACGCATCTAGGACTTGGGCGGTGGCACGCACGCCGTCGAGCGCAGAGCTGTCACAACTCAGCTGCTGTAATGCTCCTCCGTACTGACATTCGCAGTTTTGTACATCCAGCATGCATTATCCGATTCTCTGTATGCATGTGGCTTGCTCGGTATCATATGTAGCTAGAGTTGCTGCATTGGGTGAATCGGCTTGACGTGACGGAAAAGCGCCTCGGATGAAGCAATCACATGATTGACGGACTCATCAGACGCATTTCCGGCTTGGCCCTTGAAGCATCGATGAAGTTCCAGTGAGCCATTGCCTGCAAAAATGACGATTTAAGAATTTCCATCGAGACTGATGCTTCATGCCTTACATGTTTCTACCTTACTCTCACGCAACGTAGCCCTTGATGCAAGTGTATAGGTGTCCCCGATAGATCACTGACCCGGGGTGCCATGTATGTACAGACCCTTTGCTTCCAGTCATGGCGTTCTTCATCAAACCGAAAGCAAAACATAGACTAATATTGCCACAACTGAGCGCAAGGCAGTTCTCAGCTCTGTGTGACACGTTCAACGGGGACATTCGTGCATTCCGGGGTCCGCGACAGCCTCGTGTCACCCCTCCTTCTTACGGGGCATCGGCAATGTCTCCTTTTCCAGATGTTGATGCGTCTGCCTTTTCTCTTCTTTTTGCCTTGCTCCATCCCCAAAGTCATTGCTGCCTCCGTTGCCCTCTGATTCCAGCAGTCCGGCTTGAAGCATCACAACCTAGAATGGATGTGTTTCCGTATCTCCAGGTTATTACAACAGAGCAGCGTCCTGCCAAGAGCCGTCCCTCGTACTGTGTAAAGCTTTTGGGCTGGGCCTGGAATGCTGCACCCTAATTTGCTTCACCTGCACTGTATCCTGCATTGGATGCCTAAACATCGCCATCACACTCCATGATCTGCGCTGAAGCCACAGTGCGAACTATGCTTTTACACATACCAAGAATCATCGCTGACCTTATCAGCTTATCGGCATCGCACCGGCTTGTCCCGCGCTTGTGCAGGTGCTGGATTGAAGATTTTCCGAGCCATCTCGAAATCGTGCCGCCAGAGGTCATTCATCAGTCGACAGCACCACCAAACCTGCAACTCGGCGCGGGCAGCATCCATTGCGGTCAATGGGCTGCATTTCGGACTCTCTGATCAACTGCTGATTCCCCCCTTTACCGACGAAATGCAGAAGCTCGCGAAACGAGTGGCGCAGGCCCAGCGCCAGGCGACCCGCCGCTCAAAGGTCCAGATGGAGCACGAAAACGTCGACGCAAAGCTCCGAAGTCGTCTGGCGCTGCGATCAGCAGTGGGCGAGGTCCGGCAGAACCTCAAGGATGCGAGGAAGGCCCGGAGGGAGGACTGGGAGCTGGGACCGCTGGCCCCCAAGCGCGACCTGGGCTTCAACGACTACGGCGCCTTTAAGGAGAATGTGCGACAGGACTGGTCCAACTACGGCCTGCATCAGCCGAACCCAAAGGTCGTCGAGCAGCGATGCGCCTGGGCCGGAGGTGTCAAGCAGCTGAACCTCGCGCCTGGGGATCGAGTGGTGATTCGGGACGGTCCGGACAAGGGCAAGATTGATCGCATCAGGTCTGTCCAGCCGCAGGTTGGCACTGTCACGCTGGAGAATCGCCACCAGGTACGCCGTACTCGAGAATGCTTTGCGGAGATTTCCATGGGGCTTTTTTGCTGATTATTCGATTTCTGTGCAGGCTGTTGTTCAGGGCATGTTTGGCAACCCCAGTCGACCGCAGCCGATGCCGATATCCATCGCCTCCATTCGCCTGGTCTACCCAATCACGAACCCCGAGACTGGAGTCACCCGGGACGTCGTCATCAACCAGCTCAAGGCAGTGCCTCCCAACATGCAGTCGCCCAACATGTCTCTGGACCGCTGGCGGTATGGCAAGAAGTGGGATCGCCTGGTCCCTGGGCTCAACGTTGTGATTCCCTGGCCGGCAGTTGAAGTGCCCGAGTTTGAGACTATGGAGGCCGACACCATTCGAGAGCAGGTGGAGGACAGGACATTCTACTACGGCCTATTGTCACCGCCGATGCCGGAGCAAGTGGTGGACGAACTGAGAAACAAGTACTCGAAATTCAGGACAAGGCACGAGGCGTGGTACATTGAGAAGAAGCAGGCTGAGGAGGCATTGAAGAAGGGCCGGCTGGAGGCTCTCAAGGCCATGCAGACACCCTTGGACGAGTTCCACGAGAAGAACCGGGCCGCCCGCGCAGAGGCCGGAGAGCCCGAGCTGTCAGAAGAAATGCTGGCCAAGATTGGCGAGTTTATGGCCAAGAAGAAGTCGGTGGCTCTGGAGAATGCCGGCGCATCGGAGGTGTCGGCAACATCAACTCCTCCCCAGGAGACTACAAACGCACCTTGAGCAACTGCTGGTGGATGGAACTACCTTGTGAATGATGAAGAGAAATAAAAGAATCAGCAAGAACCCAAGCCATGAAGCGAGTATCGAGTTCGCATGGCTGGCATGTATTTATAGACTTGTGTGTACGAGGTGTACATCATGACAGAACAATTGAAGACATATACTTATAACCAACTCATTCCACCTTTTAGCTTACCGTGCTGGCATTGAATCTAATTGTCATCTATATGTGTAAAGGTCGGAGGGCCAGCATTTATCGTAATGCTCTCACTCAGAGATAAGGACCGAGATATCAATCTCCACCCACACTGGCCATGATCGATCAACCCCTCCCCCGCCTAAGCTCTCACCTCTTACCTAGGTAGGAAGGGAATCGACATCAGCCTGCCATTTATATCGACAACTGACATTTTACCTCTTCAATTCAGTCCCCTTTGTCTTCTTCATCATCAGAGAAAATCCGTCTATACGCCACAGACCAGCATGTCGCACTCACACGAGGGCGTCTCGCATTCTCACGACGGCTTCTCTGCTCAAGAGCACGGCCACTCTCACGAGATCCTCGATGGCCCCGGCAGCTACATCGGGCGTGAGATGCCCATCATCGAGGGTCGCAACTGGACAGATCGCGCATTCACCATTGGCATAGGCGGGTGAGTCACTCCCTGCATGTTCAAGTTCCAAAAGCCTCAGCTCAGCAGACAAACTGATCTGGTTTCCGCTTCACTATATAGCCCTGTTGGCTCAGGCAAGACCGCCCTGATGCTGGCCCTCTGCCTCGCCCTCCGGGACAAGTTCTCTCTCGCCGCCGTCACAAACGACATCTTCACCAGGGAAGACGCCGAGTTCCTCACCCGCCACGCCGCTCTTCCTCCGCAGCGCATCCGCGCCATTGAAACCGGCGGCTGTCCCCATGCCGCCGTCCGCGAGGACATTTCCGCCAACCTCGCCGCACTGGAGGATCTCCATGCGGAATTCGACACGGATTTGCTGCTTATTGAATCCGGAGGCGACAACCTGGCTGCCAACTACAGCCGCGAGCTGGCCGACTTTATTATTTACGTCATTGACGTGAGCGGCGGCGACAAGGTTCCGCGCAAGGGAGGGCCGGGCATCACGCAGAGCGACTTGCTGGTTGTGAACAAGACGGATTTGGCGGAGGCGGTGGGCGCGGACTTGGGTGTTATGGAGAGGGATGCAAGGAAGATGCGGGAGGGGGGCCCGACGGTTTTCGCGCAGGTGAAGAAGGGGGTCGGCGTGGAGCACATTGTGAATCTGATCCTGAGCTCGTGGAAGGCGAGTGGTGCTGAGGAGGAGAGGAGGAGTCGGGGAGGGCCGAGGCCGACGGAGGGGATTGAGGGATTGAAGAGGGAGGGTTAGAGTGTTTTGATAATGGGCGAGTTGATGGGAACTCTTGAACATGTGCGGGTATACAAGGAGATGCCACGGGTCTACTCGAAGCAAGAGGGCGTAGACTGTAATAAGTAATTCCACCTGGAGTTGTTACCGTTTGTTGCCTCGGGGGTCTAGTCAACTGAGGCAGTGACTTTCAGTCCGATAGTATCACTCGCTTCAAACGACCCAAGAGTACAATTTCTCATCTGGTGACGGAACAAAAGAATTGACAGACGGCTATTCCAAGAAATGGCTGCCCAGCACATCAATTCGGCTAAGACATCAAACATTCTAAGTTCATATAGAGTCAAAAGCTGCTGAAGATTTAAGTTCACTGTTCACTAGTAGGTATCAATGGAAGCGGGCACTAAGGCTAACAATAGCAGAGAAGAGAATGTCTTGATTTTTCCCAACGGTAACAGTAACAATATGTCAATTTTCTGGTACATGGCTGGGTTGGGGTGGTAGACAGTCACTCCTTTATCTTACGACTACCTATAATTTTACCTTCACGAGAATCGAATCAATTTGAAGCCTGGGAAGCACTGTCTGACAGGTGAGCTCCTAAGGAATCTAGGAAAGCTGATATTTGTTTCAGAGAGTCTATGCATGCTCATAACGCTGATAATCATTATCTTGCTCTTATATGGAAACCCCCACTGCGAAGCCGAAATAGACAGAAGAGAAAAGGAAAGATTGTTGTTGAACTCTCCTTCCTCTGGGCAACTGCTGGCATCTGCTGAGCCATTCTGTTGATCTAGGTAAAGTAGCCATGCAGCTCAAGATCGGGTACGCGCCTCCCAAAAACCAACCCCGGAAAAGGGGTGGATTACGTGGCCAGCAGCTATAAGCTTCTCGCTGTTAAAGACCTTAGATCAGCCATCCTTCGTAAAACTCCTGAGGGTCAGTCAATGTTGAGAGTAAAGAACCACAGACCGAAACTCAACAACGTTGGCGTTGTGTGAATATGCATGTGATGGCAGAAATGCACGACTACGCGGAGACTTTTGTAAGCCGGCGTCGCTGACTTGGAAGGACCCTCCGAAGTCCTCTGCATGAATGATTCCTACCTCTTACCAAACTATCAAAGACCCAATCCGAGGCATTCGTGTCTTTGGTGACGAGATCAACTGTAGCGTAAGCTGTGATCATAACATTGTACGATATTATTGCCTTCGAGAGGGATGGCCTTCCCCAGAGTCAGGGGGTCATCTGAACTTTGCGATCACGGCCCCACGAACCGGACACAATCGTTCGCAAATCTTCCAGCCCGGAAAGTAATTCATCTCTTCCGCCCTAACGCTCCTGTTCTCTACTGCTGTATAGCAGAGTTTGAAGCAGAAAGCTCAACAAAACGTAGAAGGCATCGTGGCGTCGATTGGTGGGAGCTTCATCCTCAAAACAGGATGGTTATGATAAGGTTCGCCTCAAACTCTCCTTCAGGAAGATGAGGACCGCTAACATGCCGCTGTCTCTCTCTTCATATAAAATCCACGTCTCCCCCAATCTTCATTCTTATCCAGTCTCCAGTCTCTCTTGCCATACATCCCACATCTCTTATGAGTTCACAGCTCACTCATATTTGTCTGTCGAGCATCGGAAGAGACAACAACCATCCAGACGTTGTCATTCCCCCTTACTTCATCTTTTTTTGTTTTCACATATCATTCCGTCTGTCACGAGATGCCGGAATTCCACCTGTTTGGCAGTCTGCCATGTGAGTTGAGACTCACAATCTGGGAACTGGCACTGATTCCCACCCGCCAGGATCGCCCCGGCATCCAATTCTTCTCCGTGACGAACCACCGAAAAGACGGAGACGAATTGAAGACGCTCAGAGTCCAATGTCGCCTTGGCTCTGAGTGTGCCACCGGACACGGCTCCCGCTATTGCCTCGCCGCCCCAAAGCTTGGCTCTGGCGAGAATGTCGGCCACTCGTGGACGGGAAACCACAACCCGTCCACATATCTCCTAAACCACGGCCTGTTCAGCGCTTGCCCCGAGTCGAGAAAAGTCGCCGAGAAGGCTTACAGGATATGGGACTCGGAAGAGGCACTTGCAGAGGTGCAGAGTCGGGTTCCCCGAGCGCCAGGCCCTGTCCATGGCTCCGCCCGTGTGCCGTTCGTCGCCTCCTCACGCAATGGAGAAGAATGGCAATTCCAGATCAACCCCAGCAGCGATCTCGTTTGCCTGCAGCCTCTGGACCCAACCACCATCTGCCTGAATCGGAGGTTCATGGACGATCTCTGCGTGGTCCGTCGAGACAGGGGCTTGCACGGGTTTCTCAATCTGGCGTTTGAATACGCTCCGAGTTGGCGCCTTGGCTTAGAGCAGCACAGGCCAAAGTTCAGCTCTCTGTACCGCCTCTTCAGCGAGCCAAGCCCTCGAGGATTCTTCCTGCGTGCCCTTGTCTTCGCGGACAACAACCAGTCTCGGCAGACCAACGTCTCGCTTTGGCTCATCGACTACAGCCTGAAGCGAGAGAGGACGAGCGTCGTAACGGGGCGTGGCCAGGAGTTTTACGGCATCGGTCAGAAGTTTGTCGAGGTCGACGACGGCACGATCGCGGACTATTCGACTGGCGAGCTTGGTTCGGCGCTGGATTTCTTGAGAGACCTCGACCGGTTGTTCTGCGGCTTGAGACCCTGCCACATTCTCTGGCACTATAAGATGAAGGAGCCGGCGGAGTGCAGGGTGTGTAGACAGGCGCGAGTGCAGGGATACCGTGCCAGTCAAGCTGGTCGCGTCGTGGCTTGTGAGAAGTCTGTTTGAGCGCCACGACGGATGGATGCTAAAGGGCAGCCAGGACAATGTGACCATGAGATATGAATCAACGAAAGGCGAAACGATTTGAATAGACAGGTGGTTTGGTAAGATACCCCTATAGACTTGGAGATAAACTTGCGGATGTCTTGAATGAAAGATGATCACCCTTTAACAAGGTTGTATCGGATTTTGGCATCGCTATGTACATCTCAACTCTAATCGTAAATACGCGTGTGAATATATACAGGACTGGCGTGCTGAACTCTCGCCTAGAAAATAGAACAACTGCTCAAACCATCCATCATGTTGAACTCTCTTTCTTCTGTATGTGTGTCATTTGAGGCGAATAGATCATATGTTCGGATGTACGTGCCAGCCTGATTGTTGGGAGGATTGAAGGGAATGACACCCGTGACGATGGACGCATTGTAAAGAGTGTATCCTGATCCCTCAATGGGCCCGACCTTGGTGAAGTCAAGGGGAATGGACCCAACTCTGGGAGTGAGAGACAGAAGGGGCTCGGGAACATGTACGATTGCCTTTAATGTATTGAGCTTGGAGTCGTCGCGGATCTGTGGTAGGCATTAGATGTCATGTGTCAACAAGGCATGGAATGGAATCGGCTTACCGCCACACTCAAGTCCATTCGTCCTCCAGACGTAACCTCAGAGCACGAGAGTTTTGGCTGAGTAACGATAGTATCATCAAATGGAAAGCCATCGCCGCCATTTGTGTACAGAGTGCTGTTGATGACTCCGTTGACGTTATCGACAACCTCGACATCGAACCCGGAAACACCCTGTGAGAGCGGAATCACCGTCGAGAAGGGATACATCCAGAAGGTCAGCGGAGGGTTGCCGTACATGACGTGGCCGGAAGCAAAAGCAGGGAAGTTGTCGCTGATGAGGCAGGGCTGGGATTCGGTGCATGCGCCGGCACGGGGATGGAAGTGAAGCTTGACGGTGCGGTTTGGGTTGGCTTCGACAGAGCCAATGACCTGCTTGCTATGTTAGTGAATGACACTCGTTGCTGTTTGTTCAGATGGCTGAAAAGACTGACTCTGATGTAACCGGACATGGTCATTGTGCCGTTGGAGTTGATGGTAGCAAACAGACGCAACGGCTTCACGGGAATGGGCTGGATAGGATCGGTCAAAGTGACGCCCCTCGGAACCGTGTTGATCATCCGTTCAAGCAGAGTCTGGCACCTTTTGAAGAAGTAGGCAGGAGATGATGCCATTTGCCCAATCTCCTCGCCTCCGTCCGAGCTAAAAATTCGCGCGTCGGATCTTGTGGTCACATTGTGGCCGAAAGCAAGAGGATTCTGCGTGTTGTTGGCCACGTACTGAACGGCGCTTGTTTCAGTCAGCTGGTAGTCCTCTACGATAACAAGCGTTGATATCTTACACGGTGTTGTCAAAGGCCGTGAAGCCCGTATTGGTCGTGTCAAACGTCTGAGTGTTGTCGTCCGTTGCCTTTGCACACCCATTAGCCAAGCCGCATACATACACCCTCCATGTGTAGCCCTTCATGATCCAGCTACACTGAAACACCAAAAGAGCAACATACCGGATCATTTACCACGTCAACAATCTCGGGAAAGTCCACGCCGTGAACACCTCCCAGGGTATGTCCGCAAGCCACCAATCCAATCATCTCCTGCGGCGTGAAGCCCTGCTTCTGGAAGCTGCTGATGTGCTCGTCCAGCGGCTGCTCTGGCCTCGGCACGCCTGACGGACCCGGGCCCGTGGCATCGACTCTGCCGGCCCGGAAAGGAATCTCAACGCTGCCGTTTGAACAGCCATTTGCAGCGAAGAGGGCCCCCAGAGCGATGAGATCGGCCATGGAGGAACGCGGCGTCAGGAACGCAATCAGGTTCATCAGTGTCTCGTTGAAGCCGATGCCCACATTCTCGTCTCGGTTGACTTCAAACCCAATCGAAGCATCGATACCTCCTGTTCCGGCCTCAACGTCGGCAGTCGCCATGTCGTGGTATGCTGTGCGCAGCCATTCCGCAGCGCCATTGCGGCCTTTGCCAAAGGTGACTTTGTCGCAGGGAACGATGAATGTTGCAGGAGAGTTGGCGGATCCGAAGCCCTGCTGCTCGTAGAGCATAGATTCGAGGAGGTCGGTCTTGGCGGGCCAGATGTATTCCTTCTCGGCATAAGCTGAGCCAGCTATGAGGCCGAGCTGCGCGACGGTTAACAGGAGGCGGACTGAGATCACCATGTTGACTCTTGGAAGCCGGATCTCGTTGAATGGTGGCATACGCGAGGAGTCAATGGTGAGTAAGATGGATCTCTCTTATATAGGGTCCGTCTGTAACATGAAGATTGAGCTGGGAGCAACGTTGTGCTCATCCTGCGCGTCTGTCCGGCTCCATCTTCAAGGTCATTAATCCTCATCCTTTGATCACCTTCCTCTTGAGTCCATGACAAGGGAAATACTGAATCATAACGGACATAGTATGAATCAAGACTCCGTTTGCAAAAAAGGGCATCTGCCTGGTATATAGCTTACATGCCATTGGTTGCCTCACGCAGCGGTCAGCCACTCTACAAGGGGCAATACGACCTGCCTATATAGCTTCACGAAGAGCGCCGATTCGTTCAAGTGCCGTAGAAATAAATTTGTACTCCGTGGACAAGGCGCTGTTGAAATTAACTATTCGCTATCCCATGTCCAAGTTGAGTGAGATTTTAGCAGACAGGCAGGGCTTCAGCGGGTGGCTGCGTGTGCCCTTGTTACATTCATCGTCTGGTTTGTAGAAGCATCGAACCATATTTGCTTGGGCTTCGAGAACGTGTCAGCAAGCCTTTACCTGGATGTGAAGCTAACATGTGCGCGATTCGCTTTGCCCGCATTCCTGCGGGACTTGTTGGCAGTGATACATAAGGTAGGTAAGGTAGCTACAAGTATTTACGATCTTGTTGCCTTGGAGGATTCATCATGATGAGATATCATATAGCTTGGATTCCATTCGTCCGCCCACAGCTACCTAATCTCGGATTGATGCCTACATGTGTGCTCGTCTGAAGGGGGGAAGAGTCGATGCATATGTGGCTCTGAACCTGCCTTCAGACCAGAGAAAGTACATGTACATCCTTACATCACCAAGATAGTAGTTGTAGGTTTTCATGCTTATGATTGTCCACATGATGCGACTGGCCCTGGTCGCACACAGTTGACGGAAAAAAATCTCAATTAATGCTCATTCAACTGCTCGACTATTCGTTCAATTTGCAGCGAATGAGAGCACGCTAATATGGATGCATATGCGGGATGAACTGGACACCTGGTCCATTGTGGGGGAGACGGTCAGGCAACCCCCAATGTCTGAACTGAAGCTGATGTACAAAACAAATCACGGGCTGAAGGCATACATATCTCACGACCCAACAGGCTCGGGCGGCGGCGTTCACTCCTGTGGCGCCTACCTACCTAGGCTTGTTCGCATCTACAGTAGGTTCTTCGCCTACATACCTTGGGTATAAGTCTTACACTGGGGCGGGAGCAGGCTGGGAAACGTCATTCTCCCTTGTTCCCCTCACTCCCCATTCTCAATCATCATCCTGTCGAAGCCTCACTGCCGAGAGAAGCCCCAGATACCGTCACAATGTCGGGCACAACCGCCATTGTCTCCGAGGGCAACTTTTCCTTCACCAATGGCGTCTTCCTCGCAGAGTCATCCGGCCATAATAAGCACCGGCGCGCGACTCATGAAGAACTCAGAACCCATTTCGCGTCCGGCAGCGACAAGGACCACACGGCGCACTGGTTCGAGGCGCAGCTCATGCATTATGGCCTGCCGACCTCCAAGACGAAGTCCGTGGCGCGCATGCGGCTATTCGACGCCGTCCGAGGAGGCTCTTTATCCGTGCCCCTTCACATCACAGAGTTGGAGCAGAAGCTGAAGAAGGAATGGACGAAGCGGGACAGGGACGAGAAGAAGGCAGCAAAGGGAGCCAGTACGAAGGCGGTGCCAAAGTCCCAGGCTTCGAATGCGAGGAAACGAAAGGCAGACGTTACCGTCAATGCCGCGGCGAATACAGGCACACCGGCGGTAGCGGCGAGTGCGCCCAAGCGGACCAAGGCTTCGGCATCATCCGCAGGTGACTCTTCTCCCGCGCCCCGGTTTGCGACGAAGCAGACGGCGCGTCGCGGCCCCGGTTGGCGAGCTCCGAGCCGTCCAGAACCGGCGACGCGGGCCTCTCCATCACCTGAACCGGCTGCGTCTTCTGCTCCCCGAACTAAGCAAACGGCAAGACGCGGTGGCGGCTGGCGGGCTTCTGGCCGCCCGGAACCTGCGAGACGTGACTCTCCCTCTCCGGCTCCATCTCCTGCGCCTCGAACCAAGCAGACGGCAAGGCGCGGGCGCCCGTTTGTTCCGCGGGGTCGTATCGAATCGTCACAGACTCAAACGAGTGGACATGGCGACTTTGCAACTTCTTTCGACGAAGCACCGCCCCCATATGAAGAAGACTCCGGTTCAAGCAACCGCTTTGGCGGCGACAGTCTTGCCCCACTCGGTCTTCTTAATGGTCGATACGATATAAGCTCTCCCTATGTCGAATCTGAATGGCCCATGTATGGCTCCGATTTCAGCCTCGTGTTGACCATTGTCGGTTCCAGCCTTTGGGGAAGATTCGACTTGGGCGTCATTGAGGGTGTGCTCTATATCGAAGAGCGGCCCCGCGCTTCTTCCTACTCAAACGTCCCGTTTGTATGGCGCGGTCGGGAAGCTGAAGGTCAGATCTTTTACAATGAGCGGTCTAATCGAGGCTCGTTGAGGTTCATTGGTGGTGGCGCTATCGAGGGTTATTTCGAATACCAGGATATTCAGTTTGACGGCCAGCGATTGCCCCGCCAAGGGACGAGGAGCGAACTTGATGCGAGGACTCTGCAGAATGAATGGGACAGCTATAACGAGGATGAATATGAGCGTGAGAGAGTAGCGCGATGGTCAGAGAACTAGAAGGTATCGGGTGAAGACGAGTTCGGGGGAGGGACGCAATTTCCTGACTGCAACGAGACTGTTCTGTCACTTTTCAATTTGAGGATGAATATCCGCTTCTCATATTCCTGACCTACCATCATCTTAATACTAATGATTCCTGTAATTCACTCACATGAAGTTGGGCTTTCCCCCTTCTTTGACACTCACTACGACCGGTTCAAGAAGCTTTTTTGTTGGCGCATGGAAATATCACCTTTTATAACACAAGAACAAGTCCAGGTCTGGGGAGACTCGCATTGACCTACCCGATAGGGCGTGGGATGCTGTAAGCTTTAGTTATGGGTGACTTGGAACCTTTGGAAATTTTGTTTCATATACAATCGGCATTTGTGCGATATCGATCGTGTAATCTCACAGTCTTCGCGTTTCGAGGTCAAGTGATGACAATGCCCACTGCAATTCGAGCTGGCAAAACGGCGAACACCTTTATGCAAGAGCCTCGGATGAGTACCTCTAGCTACATGGATTATGGCGATCGTGGCATCTCTAATTCTAATATCCATGTTGTTCCATACTGGGTTCATGCTGTCATAGCGCCCACTAACAAGTGTTATGTATGGGTGTTTGTACTAGGTACGCGTTGTTCGATGCAAGTTGTGGTGAGAGAGCGTCGCTCGCGCGTCGACTTTTACGATGGAAGCATAAGCTCTCAAAGCTCCCACTATGTATATTGCCAATGCTCGCTTGTTGGAAAAGTGAAGGAAAGAAAGGATCAATTGGGTATCTTAAATGAAGGCTATTTCTAATCATCAGTGCGTGTATGGCTTGCTGTACATGCAAGCAAAAGTCTCGTGTCGTGCAGAATCTTTTCAGGCACTCTGTCCCCGTAGGCCTAATTGTATCGCTGAGCACTCATTTCCTCTACTGCATCTCTGTTACCATAGTGACTGTCGAGACTCGTCCTCATCAAGGAAACAATATGCTGTAAGAAGCCTTTGGTCTTCTTCGAACCTTCATCGACCTGAGGAATGGAATCAGTACAACTGCATCATCAGTGGAGGGAGCATACCTAACTTACAGCTTCTCGTATAGCCGCCGTTGTTTATCATGGAACTTGAGCAACGGAGGGCCTTGAGCTTCCAGGGCATTCTTCTCCTCGAGCTCGTCCTCAATAATCATGCGCGCAAAAGCGCCAAAGCGGACGGCATCCGGTCCTTTCCACCCATAGTTGAGATCCCACTGCTGCTGAAAGAGAGCATCCTGCATCCGCTCCTTAAAGTTCAACTCGCGGTACACACGGCGGAATATCTGTATGCTGACTTCGTCCTCGATTCGAAAGGCATCTCGCGCCTCGCAGTAAAAGTTCATCCAGGCCTCGCCCAGTCCCCGGGGAGCGACGCCTTCTTCAGGGCACATTTCCCCTAACCCGCATTTCAGTGCTTGATAGAATGTGTACTCTACACCTTTCTTGTAGTCTGGCTTTATCTTCTTACGACTCGAGTCTTTAAGAAGACCGAGGAAGCCATATAAGCGATCTCGTATGTCTGTGCATTGCAAGCGGCCGTATTTCCTGATAACGTCACGCAGCTGGTCCGGAACGCGAGACTGATACGTTTCAAAGGTCGCCGAAGGCTGACGAAGAACCGTGGTTATATCTGCCAACGTCCCCATAACGGATGCCTCTCTTGTAGTGTCCTTGGTCATGCGGGACACGAGTCTCATTCTGTGCCCGAGGATAGCTTCTGACGGAGAGCGTGCTCGACTTGCATCGCTTCTCAGGATGCTTGGTCTGCCGTCCGCGCTGAACTTTGTCTCGACGGTGTCCCGGGATAGTGGTGCTCTGCCCAGGAGTGTCGGGGAGAATTTGAACGGCCCGCACCATATCTGCAGTTTCGAAGAGAGCAGAACCTCCTGCACGACCCAGACGCGGCTCCAGTACGGTGCATAGCAGAGATACCTGAGTGCTCTCCATTCTTGTTCCGACCACTTCCTGCAGGAGATGTCTGATGCGTGGCTCAGGAGCTGACAGCCTTGGTAATGCACCTGTGGCAATAGTCCAAGCCAGGAGATTACAGCTGTCGCGCGTCTGTAGATGAGGGCCATTGACTGGACTTGCGCTTGCCTTTCGTCGAGATCAAGCTGATTGATGCAGATCGCATCAATGAAGAAAAGCCCCTCTTCTTTTCGAGCCGCCGCTGAGCAGAGGAAGTCGAATAGATTCTGTCGTACAACGAAATCCTGGTCACTGACCCGTATTGTCCGGACATGTTCTGGCGAGGTGGCCGCTCCCCATGTATAGGACAGCGCTCTGTAGGGCGTCGAGGAGAGATTATCGAGCGATATCGCAATGAGGTCATATTGCCAGCTCTGAGATGCCGGATCTTGTGATATCTTTAGCAGGCGGGTTTCTGTTGGGCTTTGGATGGCTGGGTGTCGGAATCCCGACTTGCGGTTGAGGCGGTTATCAATGCATTCGTCCATGGTCGGCGATGCTCTCCGAAAGTGTTTGGTTACAGAATGCGTACAGCATTGAAGATGAGTATTGCTGCCTACCTTATAAAAGAGAGCTCTCCTCAAATCGATGCAAACCACGCTCGTGACCCTAGGCTGCCGTCCGTTGTGATTGGATCGTTCGATCAAGTGTGCCTTACGGCTGACGCCTTACTGCCCAACCACGTCGTTCAGAGGCTTAGTATTTTTGTCTTGAAGAATAAGCAATGCGGCGGTGTCGTTGATCTATAACATGCAGCTATAAAAATAGAAGTCAGCAACGCATCGGAATCATTTCCTCCAGAAATTTGCAATGACTGAGCGATCTGTCAGACTAAGCCTGTTGATCATCCATGGCTGCGGACCCTTTGAACGATGATGGAGTGATATTCGAGAATGTCGAGAGTTGTTTTCTTCACCAAGGTAGTTATGTAGCATACTAAGTATACAGGCTACCTATTCTAATTTAATTGCCTCAATATCACTTTCTCGCAAGACTTTTTAGTAGTGATCACGTCACAGCTCGCCTCTCTTTTTATACACAATGATGCTCTACTGTGCTAGGCATTACCTAGTAGATATGGCTGACTCGGTAATGATAGCAGTCTCCGTACAATACGACCCCTTCATCCACTAGGCACACGGGATATGAAAGAGAATGGAGAATTGTCTTGACAGTTGATGTCTTTTCGGGTTTCTCATTATGCAAGCAGGAATAGAAAGGCCATCATGTTACTAGATATTGAGATGCATCCCTCCCACCGCCTAATCAACCCATGACAGAGACTCTCTCTATATCAGGATTATACCCACTTCACCCGAGAAGGCTGTTGACAAAGGCAAGAGCCTGCTGGCCGTACTCCTGACCATAGCCCTGGTGAGTGTTCGCGTTATTTCCATTGCAGCAGTACGGGTCCGAAGCATCGCAGTAAGACTTGATCTTGTTTCCGCTGGGGCAAACAAAGCCGACATTACGGGGAGCAAACTATTTGAAGCGAAAAGTTAGCACTTTGAGCCGGTTCGAGAAGACGACGAATGCAAATACGTACACCCTGAGCTTGGCAAGATCCAACGTTGTACGCCAATCCATGGACATAGCGAGGGTCACCCATGAAGATGGCGGCTCGGATAGCGCTGACGGCTGCAGCGGGCAGAGGAACGGCAGTGTTGGGATAACCCTCGGCAGGGTCACCTCCTCCACAAAGAGCGTCGTCCATGATTTGGCCTCCCTGTGAGAATACGTGAGCACATCACTTGTGTCTCTGTCGTTTACAACACTTAAAAGTTAAATACCTGTGAGTAGCCGACCAAGACGAGCTTGGTGCTAGGGCATCTGTTGTGAAAGTTGGTCACGGCTTGCACTACGGCATTGATGCCAGCAACCACGGAGTTGGCATAACTGATACCGCCACATTGGGCTTGACCACCACACGCTGGGTAGTTGATGGCCTCAGCAGTTGTGCCTGGATGAGCGTTGATAATTAGATTCACAACTGTGGCAGAAGAACCGTAACCTGGTGGTGCTGTGGTTTCTCGAGCACCAAAGACGTGAATTCCAGGGCACTGGCGCTTCTCGAGGTCCATTGGAGTGGCTGTTGCCAGGAGAGCCTGGCTAAGCAGGAAGGTGACGGTGCTCTTGATTGAAGGCATTTTACTTGACTATTTGCTTTTCCTGTGATGTAGGTAAGATCAAATGCTGTGATATGTTTCGTTTCACCCAAGAGGATCGAGAAGCTATATGTGAAGCTGAACACTTCACGAGCTACAATAAGTAAGAGAATTTACAAGTATTACTCCTTGGTGGCATCTCACTGAATGTCAGAATCCCAGTCAATTCTAGTTACCGTTGTATTCCTTTTCCCCAGACATCCACATACAGATCGATGATGTGGTTTAGGCTAAATCAACTGCCATTGCAGCTGCGCATCCCGATTGGGCGTTTAAATGTCCATGAGCGATGAGCTATGTCTGCCGTTGAAGTCTGATGATGTGTAGATCGCCCACCGAAAGACTTGAATAATGAAACATTTCCTACAACTCCCTGTGGCATACCCTTTAGACCGAGGAAGCAAAAGCAAGCCGGTTACCGCGACCTTGCCCCTGTCATGAGGGAAGCATGGTGGTTCCCTATCCCGCACCAACGCTACTTCGTAGATAAGGACTGGACTCGTTCTCTTGCTGTGAGATTGCACTTATGCCTGATGACGGTTGCCGGTTAAGTTTCACAAGAACACGGCAACTGAAGTATGGCCCTGTGAGAGCGTCCATAATGTGAATATAAGCCCAAGCTCACCAGAGTCAATGGCTACGCATGATGAATCAATCACGCTAGTGCCTTACGTCAACTTTGTTTACCTCAACCTACAGTTACATTATGCTAGCTTCAACCGCATTTAGCGAAGAGCCCACTCCCACTATCCTCATACAATGTAAAGTATACTGTGCCGCCCTAGCTTGCCATAGTGTTCCGCATCTCATTCTGAGTTATGGTCTCTTTGCAGGCCACAGATGTTTAGAAGACTGCCCTGGGCCAAGAGGGTTGCAAAGCAACTTTATCCTCACACTAGGAATAGATGCAACGAGTGCAAAGGGTTACTATGCTGCTACCTCCGCATTTTCATGAACTTGGAAGCATCGAAGCTTGAAAACACCATGGCAGGCTAATTGCCAATCACTTAGCCGGACGTACCCCAGATCTGCATGTCCAGTAGCGACCACCCGAAGTTCGACTTAAGGTTAGATTGAGCCGGCATTAGTAGAGTTTGCTGTCAACGTCGCAAGAGGCTGCCGTAGCTTATTTGATGTGACACTGCATATTCACTTGTCTGGAGCTTCCATTGATCCGGCAGTTGCTTAGACTACAATTTAGGCAATATTCCTGCTCTTCGACGACTGAGTTTGAAGAGCAGAGGTTCCATTTGTTTATTGGCATCACGTTAACACGTTTGCTTCTCAATATCCATCACCCATCATCTGAGCTGTGATTCTATACCACTTCGATTGCCAGTCACAGAAAATTGGAACTCAGTTACCCAAGAGTCCAGCATAATCGTACAGACTAGCCAGCTCTAGAGTCACGCTTTTCCCCATTGTCACCAAATTCAATGTCCTACTACCTTCCTCCCCGGAAAGGACTCCGCACTCTACCAAGAAAGCTCTTCGTTTGTGCGGTTCTGTAAGTAGTGGTCGAAGCCGCGTCCGAGTCTGATTCAACTTCTACGTCGGGTATGCCTCGACCGAGCAGCGTATATTTGCTTCTTAGAGAAGCCCCAGAGGTCACAATACTAGGGCTGGAGGAAATCGAGGGCCGTGACGTGTCTAGTCCGTCTGGGGGATCATCATCCACCGACACTTCATCTGTCGATTTGTCAACGGAAGCGCCATCAAGAGGCTCCCAGCTAGCTTCATCACCATTGTCCGAGTCTTCCTTAGGCGGTGATGGCGCGTGTGGGGAGTAGAGATGCCTCGGGAACCCACTGATTGAGAACAAAGCCGCCTCATCATGAGTAGTTGTGGTTTCATATGTGGATGAATCTGGCCATACACATAACGAAATGTTTGTTTCGCTGTCATAGTGAGGTATGCTGAAACCAATTATGGGCGGCAGCGTAAACAAGCCGCGTTTCTGCATGTCGTCCATGACTCGCAGCGGAAACTCGACGCGATGACTACCCGTGTCCTTTGCATTGCAGTCTTGAATCAGGAAGCATGGGACGAAATCCCCCTTCACTAGGCGCTGCATGATGAAACCAAGGCCTTTCAGATCGTGGCTACCCTCTCCAAAACGGCAGAGGATTTTGCCTGTTCATTGTTAGCAAGGACTTAGGCAAAGCCCGGAAACTGTCCCTTACCACTGCATTGATAGCTTCCGTCGCGTAGAGACTCTATATTCTCCTTCTCGAAGTAAAAGCTTGTCGCTACCAGCTTATGGGCCGCTCGCCAGATATCTCTGTTGTTCTGAAAGTCGTTCTGAGCCTGCCGTTCGATGTCATCCACCGCGGTTGCGTCATCTATGGCAGGTCGCTTGCCAGCAAACTTGAGGTTAATTCGAATGTTTCGGTCTTTTTCCTCATCCCTTTGCATCTTCTCTCTAACCATCACACCATAATAATACCTCTTCTATTACAGAAAGCTTAAAACGCTATACGTTACGCACTTATAAGCTTGTTAAGCATTACACCTGTATACACCTGCTTATTATAGCATAAGCTGTAATTATATAATCTATTATAGTATTAAAAGCTTAGCAAGATAAGAAGGAGGATAGCTTCCTAAATACTTATATATAAGGCTTTAAAAGGCTACTTTTAATATAGAAAAATAAGGCATTTTAAAATAACCTCTTTAAAGCTTAATTTAAGCTATTTAAGTATTATAATAGTTATAAGCCTAAGTAGTTATTACTTTAATAACTTCTGCTATATATAAAGAATAATACCTTATATATCCCTTCCTTTTATATATAATAAAAACTATAGCCTATTTTATAAGATTTATTAAATTACTAGCTATTACTAAGCTAGATTTACTTAGCTATTAGGTTCTTTAATATTATACTTTATACTTATATATAATAACTAAAGTAATTTAAGCTTATATTAATTTAAAGCTTAGTAAGTAACTAGATAATCTTTTTTAACTTAAGGTTATTAACTTACTAATTATAAAAGTTAAGGCTTATATAAGAACTATTTTTAGCCTTAGTAATACTACTCCCTTTTTTAATAAAAAGTAAAAGGCTTATTAAAAGCTTATTAATTATAAATAGTATAATTAAACTATTAAAGTAATATATAAGAAAGTAAATAATATAGTTTAAGATTAGCTTATTATAATAGTTAATATAAGTATTTATTAATATATTATTATAAGCTTTAGGATTAAGGATCTAACTATAACTAAATTCTTTATATATTTAATCCTTAAAGGAATTAAGGCAGCTATTATATTAAGTAACTTAAGTATTTAAGACTTAATTAAAAATAAATATAATACTATTTTTAAGAATATATATTATATAAATTTAAGCCTTAAGTAATAGTATACTTAATAGTCTAAAGTATATATAAAAGCTATAATATATAGCATTTTTAAGGTTTAAGGTAATATAGCTATTATAAACTTTTTAAATATAGTTTAAGCTTATTATATATTAACCTAAGTATATATAAAGCTTATTAAGCTTAAGGAATATATTAATACTAATTTAAAGAAAATTATAACTCTTAATAACTATAGTTTAATATTTTTATTAATTTTTAATAATTATAAAAAAAAACCTATTAATTAAAAAGCATACTTAACATTTAAGTAATACTTAAATTATAAAAATTAACCTTTTAATAAATATAATAACTATAATAATTATAATAATTATAATAATTAAAATAATAAATATAAATGCCCTTATTTTAAAAGTATAAGTAATTATAGCTAGGTATTTAAGAATTATACTATTTTATATTATTATATTACTAATAAAGTATATAAAAGATTAAAAATGCTTTTAAATAAAAAGCAGATTACTAATATACTTAATATACTTATTAAAAACTACTAAGTAAAGCTATACTTAAATTTAAAAAAAGATAAAGTTAACCTTAATAAGGTTTTTAATATAAAAGTAAAAAAAGGAGAGTTCTTAATTAAAGCTATTTTTATTATTATAAATACTTAAATTATAAGCTTAAAATGCCTTATTAGTATATATATAATACTTAACTAAGTATACTTATTAAGCTATAGCACTATTTTTAACTTTTATAAATTAACTTACCTAGTTAGTAATAAGGATTTATTAAAACTAAGCTCTTTTATTTTAATAAAGGAAGAAGATTAAGTTAAAGCTAGTATAAGCTAAATTTTAATTATTAATTAAAGTATTTAAAAGCTTAAGAAGGTTTTTAATAATAAAAAAAGACTTAATATAATAAATATTATTTTTAAAAATATAGCTATTATTAAAGGTTTTTATATTAATATTATATTTAAAGCTAAGCTTAAAGTAAAAAGTATTTAATATAGTAAATAGGACTGCTTATTATACTTTAAACCTTTTAGTAAAAATATACTTTAAAAAAAACTAAGTAAATATTATAATTTAGTCTTTTTTAAATATAAGCCTTATTATACTTATACTATTATTAACTATTAAATATATATATTATATATATATTATTTAGTATAAAAGTATAATTAGCTTTAAAAATAACTTTTTATTTTTATTATAAGTATACTAAAGCCTAGTAAAGATTGCCTTAAGCCTTAAAAAAATATAAAACTCTTATAGTATTTATAATTAAATTACCTTAGGCTAAAAGCGCTATAAGCGCTTATAGCTAATATATAGAATATATAAATTAAAGGAATTAAGTATTTAAAATGCTTTATATATATACTAATATATATAATATAAGTTATTTTATAAAAACCTTTTAAATATATATTTCCTTAACCCTTTTAGTAAATTTATTAAAATCTTTAAAATTACTTTAAAAGGTTTAATAGCTTAAAATAGCTTTTAATAATTAAAAATAAATATAGCAGCTAGCTATATATATAATATTTAATAAATAAGCAGTTAAAAACTATTTATAATACTTTAGTTTATTTTAATAAATTTATTAAGAGGTAATTTAAATTATTAATTTATTAAATTTATTAAAATAATAAAAAGGCTATAATTATAATTAATAGTATTATAATTTATTAAATTTAAGTAAATAAAAAAGGAATTATCTTTAAGCTTACTTCTTTTTATATATATAAGCTAAATAGCTTAATTAAGTATTTTAAGCAGATAGTTATTATAAAGTTAATAAAAATATTAAAAAGTGCTAACTTTTTAATAAAGCTATAAATAAAAAGCATACTAATAGCTATTTATTTACTTAATATTAGCTTTTTATATATTTATAATATATAATGACTAATATATAAATTCAAAGAATATTTTATCCCATCTACGTATTNATGGTACCGACTCGATTTAC